CATGTAAATAATTATGGTTTAATGTACATGTTTATTGTTTTGTCTCTTCCTCTTTGATCTTCCCGTATCAATCAAATTCCAGAATAGGTAGACCAACCATAACTGGAGTAAATAATTTCATCCAAAAAGCAAAAAAAAAACACCTAAAGCTTAGTTTTAACTTTAGTTATTCTGTACTCTGCGGAAAAGCAATGAAAACGTTGTCCTATATTTATTCGTCATCCATTTATCATGAATGAATGCAATAATCATCAAAGGTTAAAATGTGCAGCAACGTTAGTAGCTCACTATTGCCTCGCACTGAAGGAATTTTACATTAACGCCTTGGTTCTTTTCTAACCAAAACAAGAGTGAAAATGGGAAAGTTTTTAATATCCTGAGAAGTACAGATTATTTCGAAAGTGGACCATATTAATCTTCCTATGATATATCAAGTATGATATATATCACAACTTATTCATTACTCAATAAGTTCAAAGTTCAAATCTCTCTTTTATAGTAGTGAAATGACTAATCAAAACTTTTAAATTATCCCGTTTTAAGATAGTCATTCTAATCAAAACAGTGTTAAAAAATAGGAAGTTTTTAAAATCCCCAAAAAAAAAAAAATTATTTCTAAAATGGGCTGTGTTGATCTTTTTATGATATAACAGGTATTTTTTCAAATCGTCATCCACAAAGTCTTAAATTTTATTGGCATTGGAGGATTTGTTCATTGGTTCGAATTTTTGTCATTGTGGTACTGTGTTTTTAACTACTCAATCTCGTCCTTTGACTATTAATTTACGTATTTGTGGTTCTAACTGGTTTTTTTCGATAGTATTTTTTAAGAAAGAATTTTAAAAGTTTCAAAATAAGATGTTAGAATTGAAAGTGATCTACTAAATAGGAACAAAATAAGTGAAAATGACTCAACAATAAAAGAGAAATTGGAAAGCATATTCATTTCATCTAATTTTCTTCCCTTAATTGTTTTTTTAATTAAAAATATAATGTAAATGATCGAAACGATAGATTTTAGGCAAATAAACGGTGAAATAGTTTATGTAAAAATGAGCAGCCAAATACAAGATTGATAAACAGACGAATAAGTGATAAGCAAAGTAAATAAACAAGTGGTTGAAAAGAAAAAATAAACGGAAAACAAAAGCTAATGTGATAAATAGATGCTAAGATTAAACTAACAATGGAATGAAATCAGTTGGTAAACAAAGTTTGCTTCTGCAAATGCTGCCTTATTAACAAAAAGTATTAATTTTATAGGGCGATGAAAAAACAAGCGGTCGTCACCTGGAGCGCTTACCACCAATCGACGATTTAGCATTTGGTAGCCGAGATTTATTTTCTTCACCGGATGATCTCTCTGATGGTGGCTCATTTGCTGGCAGTCCACCTTCTTCGACATCATCGGAGTCAAACGATTATCGATCATGTAGTGAATCAGAACAACGCCGAGAATCAGTCAGTTCATGCCCCAGTCGTAGCTCAGGTATGAAAAGTGCTTGGCATCATATTCCATCTTTGCTAAATCTTTTTCTTTTTTTTGTGTCTCTGTTAAAAAGTTTTAATTATTAATAATAAGAAAACTTACGTTGTTCTCAATCCGAAAAACCCATAAAAACATACACTGCACAGTGATTGTATTTGCAGGAACGAATCAGCTAGGCCGTATTTATAGTCCTGGATTACCTCTATCGATGAGCGAACGAGAGCAAATTGTTAGCCTATACAAGGGTGGCTGGAAAATTTGTGATATATCGAAACGTCTTTGCATTACACACAGTTGTGTATCAAAAATTTTAAATCGGTGCTTTTTTATATTTCAGGATGATCTGTATGAATAACCCAAGTCGTATGATGAGCCACCAGTGACGGGATCACTTTTCAGCTATCGCAATTTTCGAACTTTGAAATTCAAATATATATATTTTTCCTACTTTAGGGAAGATTTTTTATTTCTCTCTTTTCTAGATACAGGACAACAGGTTCAGTAAAACCAAAAGATGCTAAAGAAGGTCGAACCGAATCGCCGTTAGTAACCGCCATTCGAGATTATAGAGTGCGATTGGGTATGAGTCGACAGGCTGAAATTCGAGAACAGTTGATTGCTGACGGAATTTGTAGTCGTGAAAATGCTCCGTCACGATCATCAATTAATCAGTAAGTTCATTTCTAGAATTGCATGTAACATCCCAACAAACTTATCATTAAATAAACACGATTATTATCACATATAATCGAGAAAATCCACACTAAGTTTTGTTGTATGTCACAACGTGATGACTCCATTTCATTATTATTGTCGAGAATTAATTTTACTCTCAAAACAAGTTCACTGCAGTTTTGTAGTATGGTGTCTTCTTTATTACTTCCAAGATTAAAATTTCGTGGAAAAACGTGTTAACGTGAGAAGTAGAAAAGTATAATGAAGTAATGAAAGCCAATGGTTTCAGCATATTGAGAACGAAATTGGACATGAAGAAAAGAAGGAAACCCACCTGAACATCGAAGCAATCTCTCTCCCAAGAATTGCAAAAAAAAAAAAAAAAAAACATCTGCGCAGAGCAAAATAATTTATAATTTTTTCATTAGTAGAAACACAAAGGTCACGTACGTCACTGCTTTCTACATTTTTACATCACCTCGTTAGTAACCTTAATAAAAAACTGCCTTTTTTAAAATCTTGTCGTATTAATCTGATATGCTTATTGTTACTTCTCAAATTTCACTTTCATACTTCTGCCTTTTTCGATGCTGCCTTATCTTCCGTCTCCTTTTTTTTTTTTTTTTTATTTTTATTCTTCTAATAAATTGTTTAGAAATATGTTTACGATAATATTTTGCATGATTTCATCATTAGATCTTATTTTATGCAAAATAGCAGCTTAGAAACTCGTTAAATTAATACCATCTTCGAATGTCTGGTAATTCAGTTTAACAATTCCTTTCAAATTTATAATTTCGATTTCATGGAAAAGATAATTAATGTGCATATGAGGTTAGTATACATAAAATTCTGTATTACCTTAGAAAATATAACTTTTCAGAGAAAATTAGTCATCCAGAAAAACTGATGATAATAAAATTGAAGTAAGATTCCGCATGAGAAAATGAAATGCCAATGGAATAAGAAAAATCATGCAGAAAATGATTCTTAGTTTAAATGTTGAAATGAGTAAAATTTCTTTCAAAATGCATATTCAAAGCTTATCATTAATGTCGACTTTTATGATCAGTACCTATTTTGGGTAGCGCAGTACTGCATTTATTATTGTGATATTTAACTTTGGTTACTAATAAAATAACTGTTAGAAACGGGAAGAATGAACAATGGATTTAGATTTCACCAAAAATGGATTTCAAAAAATTCTCCAATTCTTGGTGGTATATAAAATTCAGTAGATTGTAAATATATGTAATTAAATAGTTTTTAATTTTCCATTTTCACTTTAATATGTAAATTTCCGTATATTAAACCATCTGAAATAATTATACTTCGAAGGGGACACCATTGTTCTCATTTCTGTATTTGTGCAGTTATAATAAATTTCATGTTTGATCTCGACTCCTCACTGTTTTATGTTTATGCGCACTTTGCAGTTCAAACTGCGCCTTTTTCTAGTTCATGCTTAATCATTAAAGTTCGTTTTAAAAATTTAGAGTGCTACACCTTCAATTTTACATTAAGCTTGCAATGAGAGCGTCTTATCTTTAGGGAAGTAATGATATGACAGAACACTTATTTATGCAACAGATAGTATTTCTGTGAAATTTAAAGAAATTATTTTGACTGAATCAGAGCTCACAAAATGAATTACGAATGGAGCTGGTTCACATAACTTTCTTCTGGGATATATGAAAATCAGTTTAGATTGTTTTCTATTAGAAGTGATTTTCACACATTTACAAGTGATTTTCATGTCTGATACTATTATTGTTATCATTCAAAGAAATAACTCGATTGTGCTTTGTTAGTTTTCATTCTCCGTATGTGTTAACAAAGTATCACGGCAAACACATCGATTGAATGTTGTATGAAACTTACTTTGTAATGAACGAATCGGCCACGTACATAAATGTTAAGATGGGTGGTAAGAGTGATTACTTTCTACTTAACATACAACAATAATTGTACAGGGATAGTTTTTTAGCAGTTTGAGGTGATGAGCCTCAGTCGATATTTCGGCGGTATCACGACTTTCTTACGAAGAAGCAACCAGGAACAATCCTTAATTCTCTCTTACGAAAACTAATATCATTAGCGACTAACTCAACTTCACAGTATTTCCGACCCGATTAGGAAAAAATACAGTTAAATCAACTGAAAAGATGGCCGTGAAATAAAACAAACCAGGCAACTTCCACAAAGAGCTGTTCGTCCACATGTCTGTCCGTTTGTCCGGAAGGAGAATTCGAATGTTTGAAAGGCGGAAAATACTTCCAAAATTGTCCGGACACACTCTGTTTACAGACAATTGAATAATAAAGGGAAAATTGTGCGAAGGCATTTACACCGTATTGTCCAGGCCTTATTTATTAGTTCTTCCGGTAATTAGTAATAAGAACTCGGTCTCGTCACGAAAACTTGTCATTTTAAATTTAAATTCGTTTTTTGGCAGAGTATGTTGTTCGTTATTTGTGACTTTCTTCGGGAGGTTTTACGAGCTTAGGGGGAAGGCGAGATTCAACATATTTCCATTAAATATCCGTGGAAAGATTGACAGCACTCCACATCACTGTACTAAAACGGAAATAATTCTATAGGATACTGAATAAAGCATGAAACATTGGCAGACCGTTTTGTTGCAAAGACTCATTATGCTTGCGGTGCTCAGTGGATTTTAACTTTAGAAAAGCAGGGAGAGATGCAAAATAAAAGCTGAAACAATGTTTTCTTTTATCAGTCTGGATTCAGCAACAGTTGTTATTTGCAGAAATATTGAAGGAGTGGGTGGTCGACTTTCTTCTTTCTTCAAATTTATTTAAGTGGACGATCGTCGATGGATGGCGAGGGAAGTGTACTTAGTTCGGAGGTTGCGGCAAGTCTTCTCAGTTTAGAAGTCACAGAAAATTTCACAGATAGTAAGTTATTGGTTATTACAATCTTGGGGAAGTGGACTTACATAACTGGGATTTAAATCAATTTTAAGGAATAGCACCGAAACTTACTTAAAGTTGGTCCAAATATGAGTTATATTTTCGATATGGCATATGACTTAAGCGAAGTCCAAATAAACAAATAAATGAGTCAGTAAACAAATGTGTCAACGAAATAATAACTGGATGCATAAATAAATAAAGAAACCAATAAATAGCTGCAAATAGTTGGAAGCGCCTTATTAGCAGTTCTTCTCTTTCATCAAGGACAGCTGAAAATTACTGTCCGTCTTACATCACTGAATTACAACCTTACTTTGCTCCGTGTTGGCAGGCTAAGACCAGGACAATTCAGCAGAGACAGCCATGTCAGTGAATGAAGCCTTTTCACCTTTTAGCTGTCAAAAAGCTCTCCTCTGTACATATAAACTAATTACATATATAGCCAGACTATTAAATAGTCAGGCTATCTTATAATTGTCAGATTTTTTAAAACATGATTATGTAAATATATTACATTGCATTTCGTGTTTGCGATAGTAAAAAGTGAGCAAAAATCTTTATAGGAGAAAACACTGTTGCTCGGTCAGCGTCACAGATCAGAAGGGTAAATCGAGTTTGTGTTGTGGGAGTCGCTAGAAGTAATACAGAAGTTACAGATTTATTAAAGGTAATAGAAACCATTGTACTTTAATTCTGTCACCTTACTTGTTGGAATCAATGATATGTATAAATTTCATTTGATTCTCTTATGCTGTAATATTTATGGACTTTGAATTGATGCTGTACTCTTTTTGTTTTTTCTTTTTTTTTTAGTTGCTTTACCTGATCTTACAATCATTTTTGCAGAATCATTTCGGTATCGAATTGTTGGAAAGCGAAGATGGTTATGAGTTTACAAAAGATACTGACATCACTTTCCTGTGTAGTGAATTCACTGATTGTCGTTGGTTCAAATATCTTAATTCTTGTCAAAAACCAATTATTGGTCCAGCAATTATCCGGAAACGTGCCGTAGATGGAAAAGTATTACTAATTAATAACTTGATTGATTCAGCGATTTAGTTCAAAAACGATTGTTTGGCAAATTAAACGAACAAAATATATCTCTCCAAATTTTCTGGATTTTTAAATGTAGGAAATTGATAGCAAAAGCAATTTTCAAATGTAGTTACAAAATTTTCAAGGAAGTTCTGCCGTTTGATAGATTCTGTATTTATTTCAGTAACAGGTTCATGCTTTTATTTTGTTTCTTTATACATTAATGTCGTATTTCAGCCCTTGTTGGTACCTCGACCAAACCGTCCACTTTACACGGACACTATGTCTGGTGTTCGAATCGCTTTATCGGGACTTTCAACCAAAAATTGTCGCGAAGCTGTTGATCTTGTACATTTCATGGGTGGCAGCGCGCAACGAGTATTTTCTGCCTCTACCACCCATTTAATCACTGATGCTGCTAGAGGAAAAACATATAGGGTATTTTTCCTATGAATTTCAACAGTTCGGCAGGTGATTTAAGCAGACAAAAGTAATTGCCTTGATGATAAGTGAAGCTCATACTTTTTCAGAAGTGCAAATTAAAATATCAAAGTATAGTATTGCAGATGGCAGTATCAATTGGATGTCGTGTAATGCATTTAGATTGGTTGAGGGCTGCATGGGCTGCCAGAAATTCTATACAAATCAGCGTCACTACCATTGATTTTGTTCGTTGACTTTTTTATCTTATCTTTCCTTTTTAAGGAATATTTGAACTTTATTCTTTAAGATTTTAAAGATTTTGAGCTTTTTCAGATGAACAAATACATGGTTGAACCATTTTGCGGGTTATCATTGTGGTTTGTCGCCTACGATGAGAAAGATCTGACCGAAATGAAGGAAAAAACCGTAGAAAACAGTATGTTTTTTGGTTGCATTGAAGCTGCCTTTTGCTCCCTTTTCGTAACTTTTTATCGGAAATTTTTGGATTGGAGCACTTGCTAGACATGTACTATATGTTCTGCTTTGAATTTTAGGACTTGCAAACTCATTGACCTGATTTTTCTGGTGTAAATAAGATTCGTGTGCGGGATAGATGCATTCAAGTAATGCTGACAAGTTACGTGCTTTCAAGTGAATTTATATGAGAGATCCAAAAAAAATGTTTTTAAATTTTCGTATCATGATTTTTTTTTTTTATCTCATTTGTTTTTTAGAAGGAAAAGTAGCTGCAAATCAGAAACAAGCGACTCATATCGTGGTTTCCACATCTTTAGATGCAAAAGTAGAGGGATGTGATGCGAAGCAGCATTTAGTTTCCGGAGAAGTCTGTCTTCAAAGTTTATTTATTTTTATTTATTACTGATAGGAAGGATTATTGTTACGTGGAATTATATCATTTCCAGTGGTTTTGGATCTCTGTACAATTGAATTGTTGTGCCAATGAAACCATATATAAGTGGAAGGGTCAACGGACCAAGCAGAACTCCACGCTCTCACCAAATACTGCTGAGTTAGCTAATCGAGCTGGGAAATCGGTATCCAAGTAAGCATTTATTTTATCTTCTATTGTGGACTACTTTTTTTTTTTTTTTCAATAAATATTTCGATTATTTAATGTAACGATGTGATAAAGATTATTTTCAGGTCATCTATGGAAGTTCTTGATAGCAGTAACTGTTCAGCGCTTCCGGGTTTGCCTATTGTTTGTTGGTGACTTTTATAAGGGCTTTGACTTTTGTTAAAGATTCAAAATAACTATTTTGAACTTGTTTCAACTGTGACTAATAGTTTTATGATGTCCTTACTTCTCTGGAATATATCGGAATTGTCGGTTCAGTGTAATGTTATTGCAGATGGCACTCATCTATTGTTAGAAAATCAGCAAATATTACGTATCTTACTAATTTTAGATTACTCAGAGCATTTGCTATCAACGGATGATTCTGAAATATTGAATAGCTCTCCAAGAAAACTCAACAAAAGATATGCTGTGTGTAAAGAAATGCTTGAAACTGAGGAAAATTATTTAAGAGCATTGAAAATTGTTGTGCAGGTATTTGTCTGTCCTTGCTGTTATTATAACTGTATGTAAATATAGTGGTCATAAAAATCCGTATTGTAGAATTGGTATATTTCTGATATAATCATGTTTTCGTATTTACTGAACGTAAAAAATTTAGGTGGTTTATTGTACGAATTCAAGTGAGTAGTGGTTATAGTTTTGGCTAACATTATTTATTTGTACTTTTTCCATCATTTTTTCAATCTTGTTTCGGACTATTTTTTTCCGTTCCTTCCAGCTCTTTTTGTTTTCCTAATTCTTATTTTGAGCAGATTTTATTTTCCTGAATTATCTTAAATTGTCAAAATATTACAGGTGTTCAAGGAACCCCTTGAAGCGCAGTTACCGAATTTGGATAGTGGGCTTCTCACAAAAGCTGAAATAAGCCAAATATTCGCTAAAATACCTCCACTAATCGATGTTCACGAGAATATTTGTCGGACACTCCAGAGCTATATAATGCATTGGATGAATGAACGTTTGATTGGAAAGGTTTGACTTTTTAACTTTATTTCACGTTTTTTGAAGTAGATTGATCTGTCATCGATGTGGTATGTAGCAGAGAGAAACACGTATTTTGTGATCAACTCTTTCATTTTCATCGTCTTCCTTTAACCTTTGTTAGTACCACTTATCACTGCCATTTTTTAACAGAGTTTATAATTAGGTCATAAGAGCTACTGAAATAATAATGTTTTTTTATTAACAATATTCACATTTTTTGAAGTAGATAAATAATTCAAATAGAGAACACTGTGCAATAATAACCGTAAGAAAACTGAATATTAGAAATTCTCATTGATGGTAACAGTTTAATTAAAAGTATAACTATTAAGTATTAATGGTGCAAAACATATGATGTGTTTAGAACTAGAGAATTTATGCTCTTATTTGCTCCATTTTAGAATTCAAGTTCCATGCAGTATTATGGACAAATGTAGCAGTAATAAGATAATCTGAAATAATTTTTCGAATACTAGTGCTAAACCTCTCTTTATTGCTCGTAGACCTGCATCTCTCTTCATAGGTCTGGTTGGATCATGCTGCTGAATTGACACCAGTATATAAAGCATTCATCAATAATTATGATACAGCTATCCAGACACTGAATGAATGCGATCAGAGTAAACCAAAGTTCCATGCTTTTTTAAAGGTATTTTTTATAATAGTTGTGATAAGGTTTACAGAAAACCGTTCTCAATATTCGTTTCAGTTAACTCTTAAATTACATAAAACCATACCAATAGCTAAAAAGTGCTTTGTTATAAAAATTACATATTTATACCAAATAAGTATATCAAAAAGTTTTTCATCATTAATCAGTTATTTGAAGTTCTCGAAATGACTTTTAAGGCTGCGGAAAGTCGAATGGAGTGTCAACGAAACAGTTTACCCGATTTATTAGTGCGACCAGTACAACGCTTGCATTCAGTGGTCTTACTTCTTAAGGGTATGCTTGCTTCTTATTTTTAGACAAGCAAAGTAGCCTGTCGAATAAACGTTGTCATGAGGAAGTTTTCCTCTAATTTTTTATTTTTATCTTCAGAATTTACAAAGTTCTTCCTAACTGAATGAAGATATAGTTGTCTTGCAGCTATTTTGGAAAAGACAGATCGTAAAAATCCGGATAATGCTTATTTGATTAAAGCGAAACGAGCTGTGGAAGCAGCTCTCACGTAATATTTTATTCATTGGAAGTGTTTTTTTCTACAATTCTGTTCAATTATATTTGAAAAAAATGCGAAATTTTGTTTTCTTCCGTATAAGTAATCCTTAAAAGTTTAAAATTCTCTGTTTCTGCAGAGAAGCGAACGAGTCGCGCAGGCAGACTGATTCTTATGCAATGATCTTCAAGTTGTCCAGTGAAATTGAACGATGTCCTGTAAGTTTACTACGGTAACCATCTTAAAACTAATATGGGATTTCGAGCTTCATTGGAGGAGAAGGAGAGAATGTTCATCGAAATCAGCAAACTCTTCCTGAGATGTTTCTAATGTAGTACCGTAACGATTAAGAAATTTTAGCACATGAACAATTTAAAAGGTTGTTCAGGAATGCATATAATTCGGTAGAATTTGCATGTTTGAGTACAGGAATATTTTATAGTAGTCTTGTGTGCTTCAGGAAGTTCAATTTAGTCTTGCAGTTAGAAAATATAATAGTCTTAGAATGGTTTCAGGCTGATATATTATCAAGCGCTCGAACATTAAAAACTGAACTACATGTCTTGTCGTTGGGAGGTGAGGATGAATGGGCCAAAACTCGGAACAAACGAATGGCTATATTTTTGTTTAATGATTTAATAGAAATTGTTAAGGTAATTTTTGATACAAAAAATTAAATGCATGAGAATTCAGTAGAAGTTATTAGCACCAAAACTTTTATTTTCTATAACTGAAAAGCACAATTTCGATGAAGTTGAGAAGCACTAAGATCGGATATATCGAATGAAATTTGTTTTGATTTCTTAAGGTGCGAACAGGAAATGATGATAGCAACACTCCAACACGACGCAGTTTCTCAAATTATTCTCTCACACGACAACTGTCCTTTTCTGTATTGCGGCATGGAAAAAAAAAATATAAGCATCATCAGCAGTATATGCTGGCTTCCATTCGTAGAATACAAAGTCTTGTACACCCTGGTAAATGTTTAATTTTTCAATAACACGCGTAAATTTTCAATAGTAATTTTTCAGTAATAATAAATTGGAAATGATTCTCTGATCCATTTTTTATTTATATTATATAAAATCCAAATAGGTCAGTTATAAATTCTGTAAAACTATAAGAAAATTTAGATATAAATGGTGTGTTCGTTCTGTCATTCCGAGTTAGCCAGGGTGAAGATTTTTGGGTAGCACAATGCTTAGAAAATCAGGAAGGAGAGCTAGAAAAGTTTTTACGCGAAGTTGCAGATCAGGTAAAGTTTTTTCCTAATTCCAATTTATTAGTTTCTATTTTCTCTCAAACTCTGTCTACTGTTTGGTCATACGGGAGTTATACTAATTGATTTAATCATACTCTTATCGCAGGTGTATAAATTGGTGGGAAGGAATACACTGGTGGAGAAAGTGGACTTCGACGAAGATCCCTCATCATTAGGTGTCAAAGAAAATATAACAACTATCAAGAAAGCATTAAATCATGCGTAAGCAATTATTGCTTAACTTACATATTCATAATAGATACTGAAGGAATTCCCCATAAAAAATGGTTTCATCCTGAACAAGCAGATAAGGACACTTACTTGTGCTTTCCTAGCTTCGTTCAGTATTTTAAACGCTGTCTTTTGTAATTGCCAAGAAAATAAATCTTTCAACAGGCGTAGGACAGAAGAAGGGAGTTTTACTCGTTTCGGTCGTTGGATGCCTTCGTGAACATAATTTCTCGTTAGAATTCTAACTTGTAGAAATTGTCCATAGCTTTACTTCTCTCACTCTTGAATAGAAGTATCAATTCACTATAAAGCAGTTGATACTTCTATTCAGTCATGATCTTAACCGTCTTTTCTTTTCAGAGTTCGAAATCCCTTTGGTGGATATCAGTCATTAGGAACCCCTCGTGCACGACCACAAAGCCAGTTCAGGCGTGCGATGTCTACTATGCACTTGAGTATATCGAATACACTGTCACGGTTGCATTCTCGCAGTAACCTTCATCCAGTGGACGAAAGCTTTGAAAGGACGTCGCCGGATGGAAGAACACATACTACCGGCTTTACCATTCCGACTCGGGGTTTTCGACAGATGCTTTCCACTTCTACATTTTTACCCTCACTTGGACGTCGTGATTCAATATTCTCGCACTCTATTAAAGAGTAGTCTTTGGAAAATATAACCTTTTCACAATACTTTTATTTTTTCAAGGTCACTCCGCGTCTCATCAGATAGTTGGTATTACAGCTTTAGCATTTTTGGATCTTATTGCACGTCACAGGATTTGAAATATTCCACTATTGTTTTGAAGGTTCAATCATGAAGTTCATATGGATCTTATTACCCTTTTGTGGAAGTATGAATTTCATTTAAAAAAAAAACTAATTCTTCATATTTTCTAGACTTATCAAATTCGAATTTGTACCTCGCTGTTTTTAACAATATATATCTTATGGGGCTACATTGCATCTGAGATATTATTCTTGTATAACAATTTGTTGCTACTGTATGCTAATTGCATTACGGAAAATGCAATATTGAAATTTAATTCATAGTCTGAAAATTGATTTTAAAATTTCCTGTTCAGTTTTATTATATTCCTCAAACAGTTCATCTAATTTGCTTTTTTACCAGTTTTGCTAAGATTTGTACATTTTACCACTAGCTGTGGAAAACATTCTTCTTTTAAAGATATTGTGTTAGCATTATTATATGAATATAAATGTATGATTTGAGTGATTAATTTATGACTAGCAATCACTTATTATTCTTACCATTTGACATCCTTTGTAACAACTTTTTTTTGTTTTTGTAGCTGCTTTCAAAAGAAAGCAAGGAGGGTTTCTGTATTATTTATTTTTTATCATTTCTATTACTCAAGAAATCCCCATGATTTGCATTTCATTCAGAAGTTCATTTGTCCAAGTAGTGTTTTTCCAAGAACTACTTAACTGAATTTAATGGTATCAAATGTCATTTTTTTAAGAATGAGTATGAAAAATCACAAATGTTTTTTGAAATTTATCGACTTGTAAAAATGTATTAGTTTATTTAAGCATTCACATTTGGTAGTGGAACTTACGTTATTAGATATAAAAATATAAAAGATGAAATCAGGAATTCCTCTGCTGAGAACAGATTGACCTCTTCTGTGAATCCAACACCAAGAATTCAGCAATACCAATGTATTCGTCCTCATTCAAGTCTTGAATCTCTATAGCTGCCTGTAAAATGTTGAAAAATATTCTTGGCGTCGATTTAGAGGTATTGTTAGATTCGAAGTTCGGACAAGTTTGGACTCTTGAACAATGTCGAGGCTAGGGATGTGTCGTACCGTATGTTCGCATTAGAGGGCTACTACACGTAGGACTCCCGCCTCACTACGAATTTTACATATTCCTTCATAGGGTATTTGTTTGCTTCTCCCTGTTTTTTGGGCAGACAGGAATATCTTGAATATAAATGGCAGTTTCGGCAATCATGTTTAACTAATGGATAGACTGACGTAGTCGTAGAAACCCGCTTGTAATGAAATCAGTTCTCGATACCATCTTTTGGTTTGTTTTTTCTGCATTGGAATCTGCAAATCTATTATTTCGAGTAAAGTATGAAGAATCTAAGACTCAAAAGAGAACAATGTGTTTTTGATGCATTATATGATTTTGAGTTGGAATAGTATTTGTTAAGAAAATAAGGGCTATTTTAAAGTGAATGGATGAAATACCATGAAAATAATTTTCTCCATCGGCTCTTCACTCATTTTGATAATAGCCCGAAGTTTTGAATTGTTTGAAGTTTTGTAATAAGCAAAAACAAAGTTGAAATCAATAGTAGATTGGAAGGATACAGTATAAAGACGAGTCTTTGCTATAGGTCCCTCGATATAAATAAAAGAGCCAGCTGCAAATAAATGAGTTTTCTTTTTCTATCCTTTTACTAATTAATTAAGATTATAGAAATGAAGAAAATCCAATAATATTTAGCTTCAAGAATCATCTGCATGACACATCAAACAATACTTCACATTTCCGATAATAATTTAAGTTTAGTTACTGTCTTTAATTTCAGTTCATTCCTCAAAATTCCAAATCAGGAGGAGTTTATTTCACCTGGTTTATAGAACAAACTGGAAATGTTTTCTACCCGCGACCTGCCAACACTAGCACGTGCAACGGACCACAGTGAATTTAAAATATCTATGCCACACTGATCGTCCTTATCATCGAAAGTGCAGTTCAGCACCTCACATACAGGCTTATAAACCGTAAGGGTGTTTCTCATGTCGGGAATTTGCGATAGTTCACCTTCGTGCATAACTTGCGATGCGGCGAAATCTCGCTACAAAACAAATTAAATCACAGAAGTAAAAGTTTGATCTGAATGAATATAAATACAAGTTTACTGAAAATGGAAACTGAAAATGGACGACAGCCTTATTTCTTTCTGATGTTTTTTGAATTAAAAGAAATTAAAATCAGTATTGAATGCCAAAGAATAAATTTAAATCCAAGAATACAGTTCGGACATTGATTAGAACTATAGCAGCATCGGAACACAGATCGCCATAATACTCCAAGTTGTCAATAATAGCAAAACCGCCTTCCAGATTAGCAGAGTGAAATATGAAATTATCAGCTTGAATCAGAATCTACAAAGCTAAGTGAAATTTTCTCTGGAAGTAAATTAAAGGATTAAAAAATTATATAAGCCTAAAATTTCAGACAGTATTAAAAAAAATCTACAGAGTCAGAATAATGAGACTGGATTTTGAAGTTAATATTCCGCAACAGAAATTCGTGGGAATGACTTCGCCTTTTTTCTGATTTCTAGTAGAAAATTTAGTCGGAATTTCTCCAGCTTTCACATTATACAAATTATATGGGTCAGTAATGAATGAATCAGAAAATGCTTGAATATTTTCAATCATTCAGTTCAAAACTAGACTAACCTGAAATGGTTCACTTCCAAGGTCATCAATGCTAAGTTGTGCAGGTCCTGGACTGCCTCCTCTTATCGGGCTAGTGCAAAAATCGAAATTAGGATACGGTTGACTTATACGTTTTAGACATACCGTTATTCTTACTTCTGGACTAATCCAGTACCTGAAATCATGAAAATTTGCAGATTGCCAAGTCAGATTAGTAATAATATTCAGTTTTGTATGACCCATCCTATTCATTTACTCTTTCAGTTTTAGAATTTTTAGCAAATTTTTACCTCTGAATTTATTTTCGTTAAAAGTTGAAATTATGGCAAAGGTTATTACCCTTTTTTCTAAGATCTTTCCTGGCATCTATACGGAAACGTGCTTACATAAATCGCAGTTCTCCCGGTCCAAGCTGACAAGTTACCACATCGCTTATCAGTGTTGCTTTTGAATTCGTGGGCATAATTCGATCTGTTGCCACAATAGCATAAGTCCCATCAGGTGTACTGTATGTTCCTGTCGACACCTGTATGAATCTATGTTAATTAATCGAATGTAATAAATTAATGCTTCTCCAAATTATTTTCTAAAGTGCATTTAGCCCCCTAATTCAGCCGTCATCTTTAATTACCACTTACTGAACATATACTTATTTAGTTGATTAGACAATCTTGATCCACTGAAATCAAGCCTATATTTTTTGCAAAAATATAACTGATATTTTATACAAAAAAGATTGTGAAAGACCGCTTTTCTAACTAGGTTTTGAAATTTAGATTTCTAACTTGGTAATCAGACATCTAAATATTGAGACATATTCACTTCTTAGCATTTGAACAGGAAAACATAGGAGAGTTAATGTGGACCTGTAAACGATTACGATCTAGAAAGCCATTACCGCGATACCAGTTTAAATCATCATTCATCAATAAATTATCTATATTATGCCACCGACAACTGGAATCGAAGTTATAGCAGAATAAATCATTAGTCCTTTCAATGAATCCATTCTCCTCCACTGAATTACCTATTCATTTCTCTAATTAGTAACCTGCTAATAATATTATAAAAATCAACAAATGCAAAAATAAGCAAAGAGACAAGAGAGATGTTTTCGGATATGGCTGTGTTGTGATTTACTCAATTTATGATTATTTAACAATCGAAAGAGTTCTTTCTTTATTCATTTGGAAAGAAAATCTTGAAACACTTTCTTGAGAATTTTGCAATTTGTTTTTGCTACTGCTCGTATCACTTACTAATAGTGATTAACTGTGATTTGAATGTGTTTTCACCATGAGCATAGTGTGAGCGTAGCGCCACATTCTGCGTGATAGCATCATAATCGAAAGGTGTACAACCATATGCTGTAATAATAATATTTGTGTCGCATAACTTCTGCACTCAGTTCTGTCATTAGAAAAGACATTAGTAGCTACACTTGTTCCGTGAATTGTAAAATTTTTTCAAATGTTTGATTAATAAGCTTAAGAGCATTATTCAGTCGAGCATTTTGGATTGTTAAAAACACTTTATTGTAGAAATTTGAATTCTTATGACATTAAATAAAAAAGTTCAACAGTAGATTTTGGGTGCAGCTAAATATCTGATAATAAAAGTGCTAATCAATCCATAAATTCATCTCACTTTCGCAATTTTCAAAAATACCTGAATAAGTAAAAACCACAAGCGTAACTATCAAAGACATTCTCGTTAGTGACATTATGTACTGCTGTACACATTAAGTACCGCTACCATCAAGTGACATTATTTACCGAGACACTTCACTGACCACGATTGCTGCAGGCAAGTGGTTATTGTAATAGAAATTTACTGTGTAAATAACGCGTCATTCTCCGTATTCCATCCGTGCTGTCCTTTGTTTTCTCTGCCGCCATTCCGCATCACATTTGAATGAAAAGTGAAAGTCATCTCATCTTGGTGGTTTTTCAACCTTGGCGTGTATATCTAGAGAAAACCGCTTGTAATTTTTCGGTAAATAGAAATCATTTAGTTCCCCGCAGCAAAGTTAAATAGGAAGTAGCTATATTTTGGAATATACATATTCCTCCTCTTCAAATTACTGATTGCTAGGGCGGAGATAATTTTTTAACCATATTTATAACAACATACTTATTTAACCATGCATATAGTTTAACAATTTGTTATTGTGAGATGTGCTTCTGTCATCTTAAGCTTTAAAAAATAAACTTAGTTTGTTCTTCCGAATTAAAGTGTATCGAAAAGCTAAAATAGCTTTATAATATAAAAATGTGGTGAAAGAACCACGTTGTTTTTGCATTGTAGAAAACAATTTCGGAAAATTAGTTAACTTCCAATTTCCATATTATAAATATTTGATATGTGATTGCTATGCCACAGAATATTTCAAATATTCCAAATATTCACAGGAACCCTACTAAAAATCTATTTAGATAATATTATAAGACTAACTGTACCAATACTGATCAATTTTCGATATTATCGATTTTCTAATTGTGTGGTTAATTCTTCTCTTTGTAAATTTAATTCCTACTAGGGCGATTCCTTATCTCCCCTTATAACGTCATAATTTTGTGAAGCAATATTATAACGACTAATAGGGAGAGTCTTCTTGGAAACAAGGCATTAAATAATTCAGTTTCTTGATGTTTCGTATAGTTTGAAAATGCATCACAGCATCAAAATTATTCTAGAATTGCCATAACATTTTCGAACACTATTAAATTTAGGTAGTAGTAATTAAGGTAAGTTTACTATTACTTCGAGATTTATTTGAGATGATTCCTGTTCACGAGTCACATTATTTTGAGTTTAAGATGAATTTAATTTGAAATACTGAGTTACTAATCTTGCCATACCTTCCTCAACTCCAACCATTAGATCATGTTTCTCTCCTTTCTTTCTCGACAGTTTGTGGTCATAGTCAAGCCAGCCTTTATTGGTCGTTTTGAAGAATTGCTATGTTGCATTCCGAGAGATCGCAATTTATTCATGATGATTCTTCTTGTCCCAGTTTGTTGAAGTTCTGCTGCTCCCCCTCTTTTAATTATACTGTTAGATATGACACTTGTAAAAGCTTCTATTTTGGCTCGTGATACCAAATTTGCTGTAAAAGTTTTTGTCTGGAGTAACTTGTCTTGGAACCAGAAGAATAATTTGTCAAAGGTTAATTAGTTGAAGGAATATTATCCAATAGAGTTGTAAGACAATAATAGGGAATATCCGATTTCTGGTGATACTAGATAACTTTTATATTCTATAGAGATTCTATAGAGATGGTTGACTGATATTGATTTATTGAACGAATACAGGGAAAATCCCATTGATTTACAGTAACAATACAACTAACAAAGGTCACGTGGGAGTTACAGTGTTTTCATTTACACAGTGTTATTACAAGATTCATCTATAATAATCTTACTATTTGACTGAAATGTTTACAGTATTCTGCGACACAGTAACCAAATACCAAATATTTATAGTATGAAAATTTTCCAAAATTGTTTTCTACAGTACAAAAACAAGTTGATTTTTTCAACATATTTTACGAATGACAAACCGAACTTATACTCCAACATATAAATGAATATAACATTGTAAAAATAAGATGAAATGAAAGTATTTGGTCAGACATTGAGGTTCATCTTTTCTAAGAAAGCATATTGCATATCTTCATTGAAGGCAACAATCTCTTTTAAATTTAAAAAATGAAGAGGATTACGACTGCTCGTTTATTTAAAATAATATAATTCTTGAACACAACAGAAAATATATAGAATATTCCCTTAAATATTCTCAAAAAAATGAAAATAGATAGAGTATCTTTTTAATTCATTCGACTAAGTAAATCAATTAACCGCACCAATAAAGCCGGGGAAGTAATATTAAAACACGTCGTTCATTCAATATTAAAACACGTCAAATAAAATAACGAGTTTTAAATAACTGGCGTTTAAACATCTATTAACTATCAAGTACAAAAGTATTAAAATGTAAGCAGAGAGTAAGAAATCACCGATTATTAAATGTAGCGATAACGAGATATCTGGTAGGTACTTTTAACAGACTCCGGCTCTATCATCGATTTCAAAAATGCCCTGAAAGTTTAATTATTTGATGCTAACAGAAGCAAATTTGTATTTTAAAAAATATGGAATTCAGATTTTTGCTTTATAACTTCACCCAGTAGTACCAAAGTACTAATTTCTCTTCTCATTCTTCATCAGTTTGATTCAAATTAAAGCTACTGCTATCATGAACAAACTATTGTTATCACCACTACAAATGAATCTCGCAAATGATAATTCTAAGATGTCAATATTATTAAATTGATGGTATTCGTTTTGCTGGAATAAATGAAAAAGAAAGAAAGGATCAGTTACATCTGAAACAATTCGCTGGTACTCATCGAATATCGACAATGAAACGCTTCTATGATGCAGTGAGGTCGGCAATTACGGATCAAATTTACCAAATTATCATCGAAATCATAGATTCCATTAGTGCAAAGATGATCTAGTTTTTGTAACATAGTCAAGCTTTTCAGTCCTTTTGATGTCAACTAAAAATACCTTCGATGAAATATAAGTCATTCGAAACAAAACATAAATTTATTCAAATTTCGATTGAACATGGAGTTGGATAAAAATTAAATCTTACTAAATAAAAACATTTTTATTAAAGAGTATTTTCTGTATAGACTTGACATTTTACGTCATCCACATTTAAATGATTTAGTCGTATGCAGCTAACCAACAGTTAATCCCCTACAACCTTAAATTCCTCTCTTCAATCAATTTTTGCTTTTTTACACTTCATAAATGACTAACTGATTTGCAGTAACTGATATCCAATACCTCCAGTAACGGAATACCAAAAGCAATACAAGTCAGAGTGTCGTCTGTCATAGTTGTACCAGATAAATGTAACTCCTTCAAGGTTGAACATTTACTGATTATCTTCAAGTCTTCGTTGCTTAATAAATGTAACATTATTTACACTTTAGAATAAAGCTTATGCGCTAAAATCGGAATCACAATTCATCAGACATCTATAAGTAATTAGAAAATGTCAAACCTTAGTTTGGAGCATCTTTCCAGTGACAATACTTCCAGTGATATACAACCTTTGATTATAGCATTCAACTGCACACTTTTTAAATAAATGCAATTGCCATTTAATAGCAAGCTTCTGTAATTAGTGTGATAAAGATAACGGGTAAGCATCTCATCTAAGATATAAAGACAAAAATGAAAACAAAATTATAAGATGAAATATGAGATGAAAAGGTTTAAGTAAAGAACGTGAAGGCTACAACAATCTCGGTAGTTTTTAGAAAATAATTTGCTTAAAAACTTAATAAAAAAAAAGTTATATTTGCTTCTGAATTAAAATTAGGAAATGGTAGTTAGTCATACTTAAGCTCTGATAATTTTCCAATTGGTGAGAAATCTGTTATAAACGGAGAATTGGATAAATCGAGATATAATAAATTGGGTGCATTATATACTAGATCCTGGAGTGTACTGAGGCTCAAAAATGAATACTGGGCATCAAATAAGCGTAGTCTGGAAAAAATCTGAATATTAATGTTATACCTAACTGAATTATAAAACAGTGCTACAAATGACTCATTAGGTGTAAAAAAACAATGCCACAAAAATCATTGCATCATTTGTAACAATGCTTGAACAACACCTCATTTTGAAATTTGATTTTGCTAAAAAGTATGTGGAGTAACATACGAGCTCTAATAGGAGTAATTAGATATATTTTATTTTAACCGATTTACTTTTTAAATTTGGAAACAAAATTAGCATTCCTAATTTTAAGCGCTTCACCGGCAGATATGCATAGAATAGACACTGTTGACGGTATATGTTCCATGAAGTCATCATCGATGTACAAATAACCGTAACATGAATCATGACCCTAAAATTTGAAACTAGAACAAAAATTGGTAGAGCTAAGGTAAACGTTAAAATAAATGAACCAACAATTATGTAGGTTCCAACTGAACCACGATGTGACTTCAAGTCTAATACTTCGAAAACATTTCAGCATGTTAACAACAACCGTTCAGTATTCTTTATGCAGCAAACCTTAACATTATGAAAAAAATGAGGTAATAAACGCTAAAGTATAATATGTTTATAAATAATTGAATCACAGATATCATCAACTAAAAATGGCCTCTAATTTACCTTTGAAATTGAGAACTACATGAAGCCATAAAAATAAATTATGGAGTGATATTCCAATAAACTCTCTTAATATGTTCCTTAGTTCTTGAACGCAATAAACTTATTAGAGAAGCAAAGCATTCTTTCCATATAGCACTTTCTGAGCATCAAAGTAAGCATTTAACATCACTTTCTCTTAGAAAAGAATGCAGTTTTTTCGCATGAATTCCTTTTGTTAATGAAGGAACTCTTTTCCAGTTTGATGTCCCATCACTAATTCAATAAAGTTTTTAACATGCACAAATTAGTTCCTGTTCAGTGCAAACTGAACTACAGCTGTATTTATCTATATATTGGACCGTAATATGATTAGGATCATTGTTTCAAAGACAAATTATTCAATGACAGCATTGCTAGAAATTGATTTTCCTTTTTTGATGACGAAAAAGTTAGTGAAAAGCTATAAAGACCAAATGTTTGGAAAAATTAATCTGCAAATTAATAATATTCATCAATATTATTTAGTTATAAAAATCACATATCTCCAATTCATTTATTTATTGTATTCTGTCTCTTTGTTTTGTAACTGCAACTATCACTACAGCATATTAGATTCTGAGAGAAAAGTTCAGGAATCTTGTACGGCATATTTATTGATTGTTCAACCATATCTTTAAGAGGAAAGAAATTGTTAATCTAAAAATACTAGTTGGACAAACCGTAATGACAAATTCATCCAATGTTGAACAATTATCGAGCAGCGATAGAAAACATGAATTGGCAAAATGCGGATCACTACAGTCAATTATACAACATTCTAGACGGAACACCTGTAAAGCATAGACAATTCGTTTAGTACACATATCACTGAGAAAACTCCCTAAGCACAGGTGTGGTAATTTCTCACCTTAAGCGTAGACGGTAATTTTTGCAATAGATCCATAGAATCACTGGAAAGAAAGCAACTGAAAATGATGGTACTTAAAGAATTGAAATCTATCTTGAATAAAAGATACAATTAATAATAAAAATCATGCTTCAAACCTATGCTTCTTTATATCAGTTATCCCTTGTTGTTCTGAGAAGCATTATTTAAAATCAATTTAATAAGGCAAAAGTACCATTGAAAGACTTTCACCGAAGAAACTTCACATATTAAAATAGTTAAGCATAACAAAACATCAATTTTTAATTGAAAGAATTAAGAAAATGAAATTACTTTACACTGCTCGCCACATTTTTCCAAATTTCTGATAGTAACAAAGATTCATTGATAATTATAAGAAAACAAGAAACTGATTGAATTTTGCAATAGCAAACTATTAAGAGAAATGGAAACATGCGAAATGGTTGGCTTACTTGTCAACATGAAATGATCTGAGTGAAGGAGCTTTCTGTGTAAGTTTGACAAGCACATCGGAATGCAATTGCTTCTTCGTGCTCCGATCGCAAGTTTTCTGACTATCGTGACCGAAACTGAATGATGCTAGGTGAGGTGAACATCGTACTGCAATATTTTAACTGTAAACAACCTGCACTGTGAAAATAGTCTCTGGAATCACAAGAATTCAATCAATCAACATCGCTAAAAACTTTTCAATATTTTCGATCATTATAGAAAGCACATGAGATATAAAATACCTAACACAGCTCGAACACAATCGGACCAATGATTCAAGCATACATCAGTGCACAATTTGTTTGTGTCCACTTCATTTAGCTGTTTCCAGTATTCCCGTAAAAGTTTCATCCATCCTGTTGATACACGCTCATAACGAATCCGTTCAAGCGTAGTAAAATAATGAAAAACGTGTCGCCATACGTCATCCATTGATTCTGAAAAGAGGATTTAAATGAATGATTAAGCGAGCTTTAAACATTTATCTTCCTCTGTTCGTAAGTTCATATTATAAGTGCATCAAAGGATTCTTGGCTTTATTAACGCTTATTTTGCTAAGAAAAGGAGAGGAATTTAAAACCGAAAGTTTAAAGTATCTTTGAAGTCTTGACACATTAATTTTGAAAATATATGAAGGTAAAGATAAGAAGAATTTACAAAATTAACGGCAATTCACGATATTGGAATTGGAACACCTATTTAACGAACGCTTAGTGAAAAAACTAGAATAAAAAGTAACGTGAAGCGAAGAAGAATGATCGATTGCATTTGGCACAATCGATCTTTTCTGGAACAGCTATGTTTACCATCACTAATCAACGAACAGTGCTACGTATTACATCATCACCACTAAACTTGCCGAAGTAATGAAATCTAAATTCCGCGAGAACAAGATTTTTTAAGCTAACTGCATTCTCACCAAAAATTATTGTTTACAAAAATTAAACTACTTACCACTCATCTAATCCATATGCCCGCTAACACAAAAATTAAATAATGCCCAATGCAACAAGAAAAAAATGTCATCCTAATATTACTTAACACTGTAAAATTTTCCACTGAACCATAACAAACAGAATCTACTATGTCGTGAATTTCCAAGCTATGAATTGAGTACAATCAATATATGCATTAGATCAGTCTATTTTTTTTTTTTTTTTTTGTCTGTGTGTAATTTAACAGAAAAGAAAAAACGAGATATTTAAATATTAAGAAATTTCAACTAAATTACAAATTAAACAAAAGATTGAAGGAATGAAAAAGAAAAAAAATAAAGCAGTATTATAAAGCTGAAATTAAGAATTATAGCATTTTTATAAACGGACAAATTTTATTTTATAAACATGGAAATACATAGATTTCCACAATGTGAAAACTGTGCATTACTTTGTTGTGCAAATGTATTTCATCACCAAGCAGAAAATTCCAGTTTACTTTTGCAAATTATATGGGTGGGCGATATTTACAGACCACGTTAAAGTACAAATCAAATCATGTCAACAACATGGCATTGTTATTTTATAAATAAAATAACAATGCCATGAAAAAAAAGTGACAGCAATCTAATTGAATGTCCTTTTCGATCTTTTTTGCAAAATATATAAGAATCACTTCTCGTCTATTATTTACATCCTACTAAGGTATACATGTGACACGTAATCTCCACTCGTGTACTGAATTATTTGGAGTTTTTCTATTCTTTTTCTATTCGGAGAATCTTTACTGGATGCATAGAAATAAGAAAAAATTGCATGCAGGATGAATTTTTATCCAAAATTTTGGATGAAATTTTAGCTAAAATAAAAATTTTAAGGATTAACGCGCGAAATTCTCAGAAAATAACCTTGCAGTGAGCAATTTTTAGACTTATAACGGTAATGACCGGATGATTAAAGAGATTAGATTCCATGATAGGCTATGTCCTTCTGTGGTTGGTTCATTAATGATCAACAATCATAATATTTATTATTGTGATGAAAGTTTTAACTTATTTGACACATAAATAAATTTAAGAGATCTGGGATGAAGAAAAAAGAAGTGTGATATGCGAGGGACCAACAGTTCTACATAAACACGAACACCACAGGAAAATATCATGCATTTGTTAATATACAATCTATTTTGAATTCGCAGAATGTTAAAAAAAGATGAAACTGAATTTGATTCCAACCTTCAACAAACCTATTATTCTGTGTTCAATTCTATTCTCAAAATCTACAACTAATCAAGGGATTTTCGCAAGAATTTCAAAACACCGGGAATTTGAAAGAGTTCAGCAGCATGGGATGTTTATAATCGAAAAAGCTATTGAAGAAATTTGAGCTATGGTATATTTCTAGTCGGAATCTAGAACGTGTCTTTTCAGAGCGATAATAACGGCACGCGGTAGTGAATCTAACAATACAACGTAAGTGGAAACTAACTTATCCACCGAGAAATCTTATAATGCTATAGAAATGTAGAAAGACATATGAATTTCACGGAATGACACTTCTTCCGTCCTTCAATGTGTGCTCTTCATTCATTAAATACATTATCCCTTAAATACATATTTTGGATCAATCATTTCCTTACTCATTACAACTACATCAAGTTGCAAGCTTGAAATAAACACTACAAATTTTGTCAAACACGAAATGTGGTACACCACTCATTTAAGATAGGATTGCTTGTTACATTTTTTTTATAGCTCACATCGATTAGGCCTTGAATACCTGCCGAAAGGAATATCCACAATATTAGTAGGCAAAAAAAGTTCATCACTTCACCTAAACAGTGATATTTGCCTTCTGAGTTAACAACACTGAAAATATGGTTAAAAGTTTATGTCAAAACATCCAACTGCTTCGATTTCGTTTCATCTCTACCCTTCCTAGCTTATTTTAGGGTAAGATACTTGCCTAAATACAACATCTGAAAGAAACACCAACAATTAAAACTGAAAACGTCGAAACAATATAACAAAACAATACATAAATTACAGAATAATCTACATATATGGTCTCAAATATATTCAAGCAGCGAAAATGTAAAGATTATAAAGACAGTTCAAGAATAAACGTTTTGAGAATTTCACTTGTCTACAAAACGTCTTAAAAATCCAAGAACTAGAAAGAAATTTAATGCTTATATGAGACATTAGAAAATATCCCATATAAATCTCAAAAACTCTTTCTTCTTAGCCTTCGATACAAGCCTTTGACCTAACAACAACTTATAGAATGCCATGATCTTTGAACTACTAGTAAGAGTTTTCTTTAGTGGATTTTACGGACCCTTTACCGAAATATTATATGCAAGTATTTTATTAAATAATTTTGCCGCGCTATAGAAATGAAGAATGTAAGTCCCTTTCTGATGGCACAGCAATTCACCATATTCCGGGACAAATTCGGTTGATAGACGGAAACGCGGCCAGATCTGAGAAATTAATAGAAATTCTTAATCAACTAGAAAGTTTATAAAAAAAGGCTGCCTTTTCTAAATTTCTGATTTTGCTAATTTTGGTCTCCTCATTGATGGATGATGATTTAACAAAAGCTGAACGATAACGTATAATAAAGAAATAGAAATTCAATTCAGAGAAATATATTTGTCTTTTTCATTATGAATCAAGAGTGCAAAAAAAAATTATTGGAAATAAATTTCCGAAAAGAAAGATAAGACAATAAACTTTATAGAAAGTTATAATAATACACACCTCCTCCTCTTCCTCACCATATGTAATTCTGAAGTCAATGTCCCCAGAATTTAGAATGAAATACCATTGCAATAATGAATTTGACTGCAGAACATGAACTGGAACCTCCAGCCTCCCGTTGGCTGGAATCGTTGTTTTTATTAATTGGTCATCAGGAATAAACTTCAGTGTTTTTAAAATTTCTTCCCTGCAAATTAACTTTCGAAAGTAATAGAGTTTTTGCTGTTGAAACTAACCAAACCACAGCACAGCTTATAAGTTCCAGAATTCCACAATACTAGCGTCAGAGCGTTTCATTTAAAAACTCACTATAAGAATAGCTCCAAGTTTTCTTTTTTTTTTTTTTTTTTTAAAAAAAAAGTCTTTTGATAATTTTTTTTTTTTTGAAGATCTGGAATTTAGATTTTTATCCCTAAAGAAACAAGCGAATGAAGATCATCACTTTGGAGAATTTTAGTATTGCGTACAAAAGCATCATCAACATCTATAACAATATAACGATACAACTTATCATTTACCAAAGATGAAATGAAAAACAAAATCACCTCAAATGAGCAGGTACTTCGCCACCCATGCGTATTGTACCCGTTTCTTTTGAAGCTTCTTTCGTGCCACCCCAATATTGAAAAATATTTTCTTCACCTAGCTCATCCCTTAGCCGCTGCTTCCAATCACTGCCAATAAATTCCACATTTTCAATCATTCTCTGAATAAAAGATTATTAATTTATCTCTAATCTGTAGAAATTTTGTCAAATTTCTGAGAAAAGAATTTTTTCAGGAAAATAAATGAATCAAAAAAAGTTATGCACCTCAATAAATTATGACAGCAAAATAGTAATATTCGACTAATTCGTCTATTATTCATCAATTTAAAGCCTTTATGTGAAATATTTTCAAAAAATTTCCCACTTTAATTTATCTTACTTTGGAAAGCACTCGTTTTACCATATTGAAAAGAACATTGATCATAGAAGGAGAATTGATCACGTATACCTTTTTGATCGAATTTGGGAATAAATACTGAAACGGTGAAGAATTTTCTTTTCATGTTATAAAAATTTCATGCTGAGTGATAAAATCTTAAAATGATGCGAAGAACATAAGCTAAAGGAAAAAATCACGGGCAAATATTTTAACAGAAAGTATGAATTCTACTGAGCACCTTACTCATCGTAATCGATACAGAAGACAGTGCAAAATGTTTTGGAAAATATATCGCAGTTGAATTGTGAAAAAAAATAAAAAATTAGAAGTTCAAACTGCATAAACCTTAATAAATAATAATCAGAACCGACAGTATTTTTCCAATTTTCTTCCCAATTTATATCAGCAGAAAAGCAATTTAACTGATTGTCGAGATGTAACGACATATGATTTCATAATCTGATTTGTTAATCAAACAGAAAAAAAAAATGCTGAAATTTTAGTAAATAAAATACAAATAAACCTGTAACACATTCAAAACGTTTATGTATGCTTTCACAGCAGGCATATAAATTGCTTCCAGAGATAAATCAGCGAGATCCAAAATGAAAATAATACTGAGCTGATGTCCTCTAATAGCTTCCTCTTTTCTGTGAAAACACAGGAGTTGATTTAGGAAATAAAAATTTAGAATAAACTTTGTCTGATATTTTCCAATAAATATCGAGAAAAGGTAACTCCATACCACTAACTGCGATCAAGATAGACCTATGCTACCAAATATAAACCATTCTTTGTGCCTCATTAATTTTATTTTATTCATTCTTCTGAAAGACAGCTTAACAAAAACTAAACAAATAATAAAAATCATGTACCTCAAAAAATACATGCAAGCTTCTGTTTCCAAAACTGATGCTTTATAAAGATCAGACACACGTCCCAAACGCATCAATGTTCTTGGCCGAGCACGACCCATCGGTTGTACGAGAATAAGATTTCCGTGCTTATCAGGACCCATAATGCCACCTGAAAAGTGGACTACTGTTTATTATTACATTTTTCATAACAATTCTACCTCTAAGTTAGGCGTAAAGAAGGAACTTATAGAATTTGTAAATGTGACTTAAATCACTAAAAAGCCAGCAAATCGCTTACCATTACAGCTATCAATATATTTCGTTTATATAAAAGAATTAAAAACGTATCAAGCTGGAAAATATTAGATTTTAATACGTCGCATGGAAATTGAAGTGAACTCGTCCTACTCAGCCAAATCAATTTTAACCTGGAAAATATTCAGCAGCTCGACTTATCGAATGTAAGAAATCATTCAATGATTCTACACTGTCGTACTCTCTGCATGCATCAAGAGCATAGAGATTTTTCAAAGCTCGTGTCATTCGTTTAGCTGCTTCTTCTGCAAATTAATTCGGCTAACTGGCAGCATTTGCGCATTAAATTTTAGAATGGAAAAAATTTCTGCTTATCTGTTAGCTGTAGTGTGTATCCAATTAAACCTAAAGATCTTCTGTATTTACTATCTATCTTACACAAAATTATAATTTCTAACTCTAGTCGAGTGAAAAACCAGAAGACAAAACAGTTGCAGATTACAGATTACTTAATAGTAAGTACTGACCTATATCATTATCGTATGAACGAAGCCATCGATCCAGTGTAAACAGCGTGTTGTAAGATGGATATTTATCTAAGATTGGTGCCATACGTTTCCGAAACTGTTCGATATCGCCCAATTTTTCTTCACAGGATAACGGTGTGTCCTGACACATTCAATCTCTGGAATCTGCAAGTTATTTGGTAAAGTTCTGGGAAGGATCTAATGCATGAATGAGAAAGATACCAAAAAACAACCAAATTTTGAAATTCAAGAAAGAGCCAAGTTTTAAACAGTTTAAATTTTGAGTATCTAATCAAAGGAATTAAATGAATTTATTTAAAAAATAAATCTAAGTGAAAGAAGAAACCGCATCCCTCTTCACCTCAAACTATCACAAAGCACTTATTTCCCATTCTAACCCTAATTTCTTCCACTATTTATTGCAGATACACTCACTACTACTTTGCTTGTCCCTATCGATCTTTCATCTCTCTTCGGCAATAACATCCCAACTATTAAAGTGATAACGATCTTTCGTCTTTCTGGATAGTGCAGTGTTTACAGAGGGATAGAATTCTTCCCGAGACATCATTGTATCATGGTGACTTTGATTGCATCGTTTCTAGATGTCAGGAATGAGTGCTCGATTCGTCTGATGTTTCATTCGATGAGGATAAGATGATGAGATACGAGGGACAGGTAGCTTTACTCAAACAAGAACACAGTCAAAGTGAAACGAATTCAGCCTGAGTAAAACTTATGTGCTCAGCGTACCTTTCTGCCGTTGAAACACTTTTAAATCAATCATTAAAGAAGACAACCCGCCAGAATTTCAAAAGTCTCACATTAAATCTTTTTGGAAAGGAAAAGCGCACCCAGTTGCTAAATCGGATCACTTAGCCATCCCTACAATCTAGGAAACTATAAAGATGAAATTAGATGCAAAACATTAAAAAAGGGCACAGGAAGCGCCTAGTGATGATAAGGAGGAAAATAATGAAGAGATAAACGGAAACAGAATCTGAAGTTAATAGGTTGATGGTAAAGTCCTTCTGTATTAACTGGTACAAAGGAATAGTTGAAATAAAGATTTTGTTGAGTGGTGCTATAATCCAATTGTGAGGGAATCTTAAAATGAGTCGATAAGTTATATTTCATTTCGACAGCATTATAACACAGTGCTCGTTCTCCAATATATAAAGAGTTAAAGTCATTACAACTCGTTTTCCATACTTTCGCTTCTTGATTGCTTGCCCGCTTAGATTTCAGCTGCAATCTACAATTTTGGTTAAATTCCTTAACTAAATTTCCGGAAGTATGCATGTCAATCTGCTTTAAATATTATCTGCTGTTTGCCTTTATTATCTCAGCTTTTACGACAATATTTAGATTATTTCTTTTGATAGGAAGCAATTTATTAGGTAATTGAAGTAATTTCACTGCTGTTTAAATTAATTGTTAAGTTGGTTCTTTTTCTATATTTTCTTGGCTTAATTGTTGAAGTATTAACTCAAAACCATTCTTCTACCTCAAACCCTATTCGTTTTTTTTTTTTTCAGTAACGCAAAATTATGGTAATATTGAATCAATAAAAGAAGGATGAAAAACTTGAATAGAAATTGAATAGAATTAGAGAATTTCATAAAAATAAAATTTATGCAAAAAAAAAAAAAAGCCTAAATTTTAGGCCGAATCTTTCGTGAAATGATTAACGGTCACCATAAAATTTCTTTTAAATCTTTATCGGAATCTGAGAATTTTAATCCTCAGGAAAGTTTGAAATTGAATAAGTTAAAATAAAGTAGTTATTCTTTTTGTTAAGTAACTTATTGTTCTTTTAAACAAAGTAATAAAACCGGCGTAACAAAGATAATAATGAATTTTGATAGTTTGTGAAAATTCTAAGATAAAAAGAAAAAGAGAGGATGGAAGAAAGAAATGAACAGGTGTGGTATGATGGCATACGTATGGTTAGAAATAGTGGACGGTCAATTCCCACGGGAAATCAGGGTTTCTGCGATCTTTCAAGAGTTCTTTGCGCGACCTGGGAACTGTTCAAAGGGGAGAGAAGGGTTGGAGACAGTTGTTGCAAGAGAATGAAATTGATGATGTGATGCATTAATAGCAGGCAGCAACTGATCTTACATCGGAGACGGTGCAGTGATTTGATTCACTGGAATCCTACTTTCAAGTCTAATCTCTCGTTAGATGGATATACCATTCGTTTGTAATTTTCGAAGTGCTTCACTTTTCGTCCTTTGCTTGTTTTTGCTGCTTCCCTGTAAAACGTACTCCGGTAAGTAATTTATTCTATTATTTGGCTATTACTGTTATGTGCCTTTGATGCAATTAATACAGGGAAAAAATAGAAAAACGATATTTTAATGATATTGAAATATTTGGATTCTCTGTACCAGATTATGGATTATGTATTGATGGGGACATTCAGGTGTTAAGATCCGTTTTTATTTGAATTTTTTTCATTTGTTTATCTGTTGAACTTAGGTAAATGTTTATACGGCGGCATAAAAATGATATTAATTACATACGTCAGTAAATAACATCAACTGATTTCACAGGAAATGCTCATTGTCAGTGTACACATTACTTTTTAGTCATTCTTTCATCTTTTCTAAAACTTTAAGCTGGTAATTCTGGAATCTGTTCATTCAAATTCTAGGTATAGAAGTCCGAAAATGCCGGCACCGATATTATGGAAACAAGGAAAATATAGTTTGTGTATGCAACGCGACATACTGTGATGATGTACCAAAAGTGGGTAACTTGAAATCGCTGCAGGCAGTCATCTATAAAACGAACCAACGCGGAAAGCGTTTCGAATATACTGTCTCTTCATTCGGAAAAAAAACAAATGGTGACACTTCACTTCAAAAATTTTACAGAGGAGGCGTTGTCTGTCCTTAATGTCACACTCAGTCATTTTAGAAAATGAATGGATCTGAAGTAGTTACTCTTCGAAATATTTTAATTCTGTGATTGCTTCACATGCCAATAAGTTCGAATTTTTTTGATTCCTTTATTGAAGAGAGAAAGTAATAATATATTGTGGGAAATGAAATTCGCTAATAGCAATAAGATGTAAATTATATTTCATAGGATATATGCAATAAGATATATTTCCTCACCTAACTCACTTTCCTCTTGCAAAGTGAAATACAGTATTTATAATCTTTGCCTTGATAACTTCCTCCCTCATCACCATAAATTCAGATGTTTTCTGTCACTGAAGAATCTCTCAGTTTGTAATCATCACTCCCATTACGGTACTGGAATTTGTTACATTTAAGAAGACATCACTGAATGACATTGATAATATCGGAGTGCAAAAGTTAGTGCAATCAGAGCTAAATTGCATTAAATTTTTCCTTTATCCGGGATTGAATCCAATATTTAAAATATTAAATATACTCTACTATCATATTCACATTACATTTGGCCTCTTATGAATGTTCTCACACATTACATTTTAAGAATTTTTTGCTAATTTTTTAGGACAAAATCTGTGCTAGTGGCTAGAATTGATCATGTAAAAAATCCCTTATAGTGTTAATAATTCTTCGTTACAATTAAATGTTCTATTTTTCCTTCGAAATGATGGCTTTAAAATAGGTTCATGAAATAATCTTATAATTAAACAAAATTGATTTATGGATTACTGTATGTCATAGTCATAAAAGTTATAAATATTTCCTAGTTTTAATAAATTTTACAGATATATAGTAATTTTTTGGTTTTTGGTTTTTTCTTGATTTCAAGAAATGAGTTGTAGGAACCGGAGTCATTCGCTTGGGAACTGATAGTAAGATACGGTTCCAAACAATAATTGGATTTGGTGGAGCATTCACTGATGCGGCCGGTATTAATATCGACTCGTTGAGTGTGTCAGCTCGAAACCATCTGTTGCAGTCCTATTTTGGGAAGACAGGTAATATTCATTAGTATAGATGATAATAAATAAATTTGTATAACTTCCAGGAAGGCTGGCCTTACATTTTTATTCCACCGAGATAGAATATACATTTTGAGGTATACAATATACGATTGGCAGAGTGCCGATTGCAAGTACTGATTTCTCAACTCATGCATATTCATATGATGATTCACCGAATGATTTTGCTCTTACCAATTTCTCACTGGCTGAAGAAGATTTCAAGTTCAAAGTAAGTTGATAAGTTGCTATGATTCATGTATATGCGGAATGACGCTCTTCCTTGAGATTTCTTAGTCACACTTCAATTTTCTTAATCTAAAATAGTGACTGTCTACCTTCAATGCAAATTTTCAGTTCAGATTCCTTATATCAAGCAAGCAGTAAGCTTAACAGATGGTGTACTCAAATTATTCGCTTCTCCATGGTCAGCACCAGGATGGATGAAAACAAGTGGACAAATGATTGGTGGCGGAACGTTACGTGGGCCTCCTAATGGGTCATATCATGTGACATGGGCTAACCACTATGTGAAGTAAGCATTAACTTCTTGTCATCATTTGTATATGCCATGTAATATTCCTGCTCTGAATTAGATAACTATGGCCAAACCTATATTCATTCTCTTTCAGATTTCTTGAGACATACAAGAAGAATGGCGTAACATTTTGGGGACTTACTGTTCAAAACGAACCGGTATCTGGCATTGATCTGTCGTACAAGTGGCAAACAATGTATTTTAGTCCCAAAGCTGAAGGGTATTTTTATATCCTTCTTTGGTTGCTTAATAATCTTTTAATCAAAACAAAATGAAACACAAAGCGATTCATCTACTATGATTGTTTCATAGGTAGATGATGTCGGGAATAGGGTCTGATTCAAGTTGATTGTAGAGCCGAATAGTTAATGCTTTGCAGAGAAGGCGACGTCTGACCAATCTTTATTTTTTTTAAGATAAAGATTATCGTTATTGAACAATATTAGGAAGCTTTTGTTATAAGAGAGCAGTGAATGCGAAATTGCCTTTCAGAAAATCTAACCCCAGTAAGGAGTACAGCTCCTTATATAGTAAGTATTAACTCATAACAAGACGCATGATTTATATACATAGAGGAGGTCAGTTAAACAAAAAATTGTTAACCTTGTCAAATTTGAATATAATTTATAGTTAGGAAAGAACGAAAACAGCAAAAAAAGTCAACTAAATAAAGAGCTGGTAATTGTAAATAATTTAATCTGGGATTAATTTCAGCACTATTCTTTGTTCACAAACAATATACTTAGCTACATGGAAGATGAATGTTAGATAAATGATTTTTTACATTAGATCATTTGTTTAAGGAATTTTCAAATAAAACAATCTTTAGTTCTATGGGTTTAATGTAAATGTTATAATTTGGTTTTTCCGACAGGTGAACCCCAAGAGCTTTTTGGTCAAATCTTTGATAGCTTATAATTATATTCTTTCTTAATGACTACCAAAGATGGATGATCGTATGCTTCATGAGGTCCTTTGATAAAGCACAATTTCTGATATCACTTTCTAGCGATTTTATAAAAAATCATCTTGGTCCAGCGTTACGAAGAAGTGAAGTGGGTCGGAATATATCGTTAATGATAATGGATGACCAACGAACACAGCTGCCAATTTGGGCTGATGTGGTACTTATTTATACTTACATTTTATTCGGTCGTTCAATAATATAATTAGCTTGGCAGCTAATTAAGATTTTTTGATTATATTATCGTTAGGTATGGGTTCTGTTTAAACCTGAAATCATCAGTTTGGTTGCTAAGTTCAGTATTATCAAAGGTTCTATTTTAAGAAGTGAGGCGTGATCATGACTGGATAAAAAAGTATTGTCATTTCAGGTCCTTAAAGATAAGGAAGCTGCTCAATACATATCTGGCATAGCAGTGCATTGGTATAACGATTTTGTGCCGGTGTCACAACTTTCTGAAACACACAGTCGTCATCCAAATAAGTTTATCTTCGGGACTGAGGTTTCTGCACAAAATTTTCCATAAAACTTTCAAAGATCGTTCATCTCACAATGACTGCATAAATGCAATAGTGTAAGAGTCTATTAGCTACACGGAAGAACTGAAGAGAATTTCTATTCAGGCGTGTACTGGATTCAAACCTTTTGAACATAGTCCGCTTCTGGGAGATTGGTCACGCGGAGAGATGTATGCTCACGATATCATTCAGGTATGTTAAAATTTCCCTATAAAAGCAGTATTTCCTGCACCTGTCTTGTCGATTATTTATATTACATCCTTTATACATTTGAGTATCAGTAGTGTGATTTCCATTTTAGCTCGGAAAATCTTATCTTTTGAAATTTTCCTTTTAGCATTATGAATTTTTAATTAACTGTCAACCTTTAACAAGCAGCTCAATATCAGAATGATTCAAAAAAAAAAACATGATTTGTGACCATGTTAGATTCTTCATTCTGAAAAGGTATTGAATAGTTTTCAGAGAAATACTTGCAAAAAAATATGAAAAGCTGATAAAGTTAAGCAGTTTAGCAGAAACGATATTACTGTAAGTCAGGCTTTCGTTAATCTCAGGAATTTTAGGATCTTTCTCACTGGGTGTCTGGGTGGACTGATTGGAATCTCTGTCTTAATTTAAACGGTGGACCGAGCTTTGTCAAAAATTATGTAGATGCACCAATAATAATAAATGCAACTGCTGATGAGTTTTACAAGCAACCTATGTTTTACGTTATGGGACATTTCAGGTAACATTCGTTTTTCCTCGAAAATTTGAATTTTTAATATACTATCCAGTATGGTGCATCTGCTAATAGTACTACTGTTATTTAGAATATCTGTTCACTTACTAATGTGGCATATATGCAAAAATTAAGAAAAGTAGGAATTCAAAAACAAAAAATTTTTAAATTTAAAGCAGAAGCAGAATAAACGCAAGACGAATTATTTTTTTAAAAAATCAGAAGCAGAAAAAAAAACCAAAAAAATTCAGTTTAAAGTAAGTAGTGATTTAAAAGAAAACGTTAGTCATTTAAAAGAGGGCAGTTATGCTTTCTTATGCAAAGAAAAAAAAATTTCCCGGCTTGGTTCTCTTCTCAATTTCACGATTTATAAAGACCGCTTAAAAACATAGTATTGTAATGATTGTGGGAATCAAGTCTCATTTTCTGCATTTTTAAATTAAAGGCAAAAAATTTCAGTAAATTCATTCCACCGGGTTCAGTTCGAATTGAATTGCATTTTTACATGAAGCCGGTTTTGTATGAAGGAGTTGCATTCGTTACTCCAGCGCACCAACAAGTATTAGTACTTTTGAATCGTGGTAATAAATCAGTGACATTTTCGGTCGAAGATAAAGCTAAAAATGGCTTGGCCCTCCGCATACAGCTAGAATCAAAAAGCATTGCAACTGTTATTTGGAATAAATAGGCCATGCGCTTCAGGACTTTAATATATCATTCTCTCCTAAAACTTATCAGGTAGCTACAATAAGAGTGAAAAGGTGCAATAACGATTTGTTGAACGAAAAATTTCTTGCGAAACGACAAAAATTCAAGTCGATTAAATTCTTTTAACTTGTGAAGAATTGATTTTGATTTTGAAAATTGATTTTGAAAATAGTCCCAATTGAAAGCGCATGACTTTAAAGTTTTTACATAAACATCTGCTATATCGGTGCTACTCATATTTTAATAAAGCTTTATTACTTGCGAAAGTTTTAAAAACTAATAAGATATCTCGAGGCTCCAGTGTGATATTCTTGCCATCCCTATCCATAAAATTGAAAAATGAAAATTAAATATTTAGTCATGGTGTAATTTTTGTCATACTTCTAACAAGCTATGTTTTCCACTTAAGCCAGAGGCTGTTTAACGTCAATGTAATACTGAATACATTTACTCCATACGCGTCCATGTTTATTGGAGAATAGCAGTTGATATGTACCAACTTCTTTGCAAACAATTTCATTGTATTCTGCTGTAAATTCAGTATAAATCCGGAAACGTGGCCAAACCTTAAAAAAATGGAAACTTCACCAAGATTATAGAGTTCAATGCGGTATGTTTACAGAAAGTAGTTAACCGACACTGTGTGTCATATTTTAGACTTTTCTATTGTCGCATAAGCTGTAACTGTCCACACGAGATTGTGTACACTCCGGTCATTTAAAAATATAATGAGACACATTTCTCTTCGATCTTTCATTTTTCAAGTTCTCATACTTCCAAAAAATTTTTTGAACAGAGTTATTGGGGTGTAACAGTGAAATCTAAAAGATATTTACATTAAATCAATAAGTGATACAAATATAACCAGGTGAATACCTCTTGCTTCTCGAACAACACGCAAAAATCGATATCACCAGATGAACAGACAAAATACCAGAAAAGCCTTGAGTTGGGTTTTTCCACACAGATGCTTATTACTGCTTCATCCCGTGCGCTTACGGTAATCTTTTTGAGCTTTTCATCTGCTACATACTTTTTGTTCATTTGTGCTCTTAAATGATGAACTGCATGAAAATCTTATAAAGAAAGCTGAAGATGATAAGCGAAGTTTGGAATTTTTTTGCTTTTTAAAACCTGGTAACGTATTTCTAAACTAAAAGTAATTTGCAAGTTAGTTTTAAAATTCATAATCCAATTTTAAAATTTATTGATGGAAAATTTATTGATGAAGACGCACACAGAATTCGGAACCTCGCCTCCTTTTCGAAAAATATCATCACCCAACAGACCACCGTATCTTTTTGGCAAAAATTTCGCTCCATGTCTTCCTACCAAAATATCTTTCCAATCATTACCCAAAAATTCTAACAGATTGACCGTTTCCTTCAAATGATTAGTTTGATATAATTTGCTCCATAAGTAACAAATTCTTTCACTTAAGTATGGGAAAAACATAATAATATTTGACTAATGCAAAGTTATCTAATTATTTTTCCTATCACATTCATTCATTTTACATTTTCAATGAAATTACAATCTTTTCATTGACTTGAACTCTACAAATTCCTTTCTTTTACTTTAGCAACATTCATTAAAACCATTCGTAGGAGAAATTGCACAGCTATGGGAGTATTGACAACATATAACCTTACTGCTACATCCGGAAACATATCCTGTAATCATTGCTGAAATTACCATTTTCTATAATTTCCTATAGGACATTCAATATTTATACACTGCTCAAGTCATCAAATTAAGAAAGTTATAAGATTTGTCTATCGTAGAATTACGGTGGTATCCAGAGAACAGGATAAAATAACACTCTAAGTCTGATTAGGCATCATTTTATTTTATTTTCCCTAATTAAAACTTTGTTTAGGATCAGTTGACTAGAGTTAATTTCTTAATTTTCTCATTAAAGGACTTCTCTACAGACGTGATAAATAAAGCATTGTATCATCACATGATAAATGATAAGCAACGGACTTGCAACATTATAATTGCTGAGATATATATCTTTGTGGCTGGCAAGTGGAAGACGATATCGTATGAGAATCCACTCAAATCAATGATTACTACAGCGCCCAATTTACATCCGCGTTTCGCTTCCTCGGATCTATGTAAAGCAATGCTAATTATCAACCGATCTGATATTGGTATTCAATCGATTGTTTGCACATTTTTGCATATTAATTTGCAGACATTGGCAAAATAACCGATATTGATTGCTATTCATTGTCAATGGAACCTAATTGTATTTGAAGCACATCCATCCAGATGAATTCATTTTTAAATGTGTGGACACATTCAGATCATATCTCGCTTGATTCTTAGTCGTAAAATGAATCTCAATACACAAAAGAACTTGCAACCTACCTTATTAGGCATTGTGTTGCTTCGTAACCATATATGGAATTGATATAAAATTGGGATACCCGTTCAGCACCGATTAGACTACGTGGATGTGCTTTACCAATATTATGTAAAATTAGCACATATCCATTTTTATCATATCCGATAATACCACCTATAAAAAAAAAACGATCGAATGGCCGACATTACTTTGATAAATGACTTCATTTAAAAAACGGAACTTTTACTCCCACCCTTCTTGCGCCATTAACTTGATTTTACATGCCAGTCAATAAAAAACATTAATTTGAATACCCGGAAAATACTCAGCAGAAGGTGATGCCGCTTTTAAAATTGTTTCGATTTTCTCAACTGAACTAAAATCTTTATCAAATGTTCCAACTGCATTTATTGTATTTAAAGACCATTTCATTTTCTCTGCGGCCACTTCTGGAATACAAAAAAAAAAGACAGAGCTAGGCTATAAATTTAAGAATATTTAATTAGCATCCTTACATAGTATTAATTAAATTTCTACTCTTATCCAACAATAAAAGAAAGAAAAATGAAAGTACAAAGGCAAACATTCGCCACCAAAAAAGAAAAAAAAAACACGCTTTCAAAGAAAACACAAAAATTTTCGAAGCAATTTGGTAAATTCAGGTTTTTTTCAGGCAATTCTTAAATATTGTACAATAAGAAATTCCAGCAATTTCACCTTTATCAAATTTAGATCCTCTAAGCCAACGTAATAAACCGTAATCTGTATCATAGCATGGATATTTTTTTAAAAGTGGTTCCATATGCTTCCTAAATTCATCGATTTCGTTCTGATAGATACTTTTTATATCCAAGCTATTATTTACTTTGTACTGGTTGGACATTATGTACCGTCGCCTTTGTTTCTCTGAAAGAATAAAAAATAAATCGAATTGAATTTGAAAAAGAATTTAACGAATTCCTTTCGTATAATTTGATCATTGGGAATTTTAGTCATTGGAATGGATATAGTTATATGTGAAATATTAATAGATAAGTATGAATTGCTCTTACGACTAATTTATGAGCAATAGAATTTCACTGCACTTAAATATAAACTTTGCTTTCCGAATGGAGCAAAATTGTTTGCTGAAATATGCAATAAAATGAAATTACACATCTTTAAGACAATGTTTCGTCACACATTTGAATAAGAACATTCTATACTGTTAATAATTCATTCTGTGCAGATGGTGTATTCTTAAACAGATAAATAATTGGTAGGACATTGTGAAATGAAATTTGGAAGTTAAACTATTTCTAATAAAGTTTTCATAATATAATAATTTGAAAAAATTAGCAGTTTCTAGCAAAAATTCTTTTTTCTGTGCAAGAATTAAATTGTAAGGAAGTTATTAGAATAAAAATGTGAAAGAAAATGGAGATGGGTTGTAATGAGAAAAAAAGTACCTAAAATTAACGACATACGTGATTATTTTGACTGAATGACTAAATGACTGATTCATTGATTCAATAAATTATGACAAGAAAAGAGAACGATGAATCTCATTAATCATTTCAGTTCGTTTATTCCTTCTTTAGATTATGTCTTATTTATAAAGACATTTTTAAATAATAGCTTTTCCGTAATTACATGAAATTATTGCTTAATTTTGAATTTTTCAACATCCATTCCAATTCAACAAATCTCCAGCTTATTTTGACTATAATTTAATCACACCTAGAGTGATTTAAATGAATTCAATTCAGCTTAACATCTTTTCAACTTGGTTTAATTAGCTTCAACAAAATCCAACTGATGAATAATTCTGAATCCAACTGATGAATAATTCTGAAGTCCATATTGTGGCATAACAAGTATCCCAACATCTAACCATCTTCAAAATTTAATATTGATAGTTCAGTACAATTTCAGCAGAGTTAAAAGCTGCACTTTCTTCTAGTATAACCTGAATAGTGGAACTTTCGAAAATTGAATTTTCATGAACACTTTCAGATTTAAAAAAAAGACGGAAAAATAGATTTACATGAATGATAAACTGAAGTTTCAATATATTTGGGAGTAGGTTTTGCAAAACTGGTCACCTGCCTTCCCTTAACCAATTTGAATCGGACAATCTTCCAAACTTCCTATATTGCATCCATAGACCTATCTACACAAACCACTTCCTTCACACAATCTTCAGCAATTTGAAGACTTGTTAACATCCATTTATTAAACCTGAATTTTATAATTTTATAAAAACTGAAGCAATACATTTCATGAAAAACATGAAACAGACACTGCACTTCCACACATTTGATTTTCGAAAATCAGATGAGTTTCTTTTCACACCAAGGTGTATACAATGAGAACTAGTTCTTTACAATTTTTCAATAATGTCGTCAGAATCTGTTATATTCGTATTTTGAAACTTGATCGAATTCGAAATTCAACAAGATGTGATTCGAGTCAAAAAAGTCCAGCTTCCATATGCAAAATGATGAAATATAGGATTACTGTCACTTTCAGACTTCCTTTCAAAGATTTTATTTTTCAATGATGAATCCGTTACTAAAACCATAATTCTTGATACATTATAGGAAAAACTTTCAAAACCTGGTTTTTAAAACCTTTGAAACATATATCACAGAATACTGCAACATTGATCATGAATCAGGCAGTAATGTAGATGGATGATTTAAATCCATCTATATAAAATGATACAAACAAAATGCTTTACTACAAACAGACAACGTTATTTAAGCACAATGATAATTTAATAAAAGCAGTGAGAAAGCTGAAGTAACAACAAGAATAAAACCTGATGAACTGATAAATATGTCATGTTCCATTCTACGGTTCACATACAAAAAATCACAAAAATTGACAGTAAAGTTAACTGTACTTTTTGTTGGCTTCCATTGAAAGAACTTTTTTTCGCTGCTTAAGCATATACAGGTACATTTGCGGAAACCCTGAAAAATCAATAGTTAATTTCTTGCTCTATCATGAGCTAATTGTAACTTTCCAATTTAAGCAAACTTATGTTTTATATCTAACAATTTTATTCGAAAACAGAATGTTGACCTTAAAGAACACAACACTGACCCTGTAGTGCAAATACGGATTTCATAAGCATTCATAAACTAGTCTCTCAATAAACACAACTTCAAATTATAAAACCAGATGATTAACTTAATAAAACCATTATCTGACCAAATAAAATTATCCCTCAAAATACGACATAGGAAAAAGGACTAGAACAGCTCCTATACTCGTTGTATTTATTTCAAATTTATGCCCTTTTCATATTTCGTTATGCAGCTCTGCAATGACGTAAAGAACCAATTAAGAAAAATATGACAAAAACGAATAAACAATGGTTAGTTTGATTGTGTGTGGTTGCTGTTGCAAGTATACTTCAAAAAATAATAATAATAATAAATAAATAAATAATGAATAAAACATGAAAAATCGAAGAATTCTAAATCCAATGAGGACCAGACCTGGTATATACAGAATAATATAAGCGATAAGATACCACCAGAAAGAGAAGCCAATATTACATATATTTGGCAATTCCACAGTGAGATGTTTTTTTGTAGCAATCTATAAGATAGCTGGATTAAATAAACTAAGTAAACCAATAATATGAAAATCACCTACATGCCTGATTGAATCATATAATTCAAAAAAAAAAAAAAACACACACACACAAACCTCAGGAAGAGCAGCCAGGATTACTAGAAGCTCACCGCATACACCCAGAGGATACAATATAATAAAAAGAGAGTATCTGAAAACATTAAACAGAGTCACAAACTTTCCCATGCACGACTGAAATCTACGCAAAATTTTCCACCCTATGATGAGCATGAAATCAGGATACATATATACACAGAAATTAAAAAATGAAAAATGCAAAGGTAAAAGAAGATGATCAAATAAAATTTGCATTAAAATTTCAATTTTCAGTATGTCACATATGCACGCTGTATGACAAGACTTGCCTTAACCACGTATGAATATCTGATACAGCATTAATTAAAGCGAGTCCATAGTAGCTGTAACGTATTACTTCGGTCACTGACCATGCTGTCAGCAAAAAAAGTACACCGATACTTGCTTGTGCCTAAAAATGAGCAAAAAGTTGAAAGCAAGCATAGTTCGCTAGATTAATGAAGAATACTTGAAAATCTTTAAAACTTCATTTAGTAAAAAACGGAATAGATGATGAACTTAACAAAACTCTCATCTAATTTGCAAAATTCATAAATCTTTTTAAAAAACTTTCATATATCAAAACTTCAGGCTAGTCCATTGAAGTACAATGTAAAAGAGAAAAAAAAAAAAAAACTTCAAGTTTGTGCACATTGTCAAGTTTTATAAAGTCCTTGTATTACAGAATGTATAGAATGTTTTAATATTTTTGGAAGATAATAGCCTTTTAATTTTTTGAAAGTAAAAAGAAGCATAGAAATTTACAATCTTACCGATACAACCTTGTACAAAATAAACACAAGCGAAACACGTGAGAACACTTGCATTGTTGTCGTTCCGACAGGTGATCGAACAAAACAAGCAGCAGCATGAACAATCTGAATTTAACTATTCGGTATTATTTGCTCATCAACTTTGCACTAATTTATAAATTAATTTCTTTGATTTATTAGATGAATATACTGGTAAATATATGTGTACAGCTAAAACAACTGTAAAAGGGAATTTCTAAAATAATACGACTTATTATTACATAATGTTGTCTCTAAAATAATTTTTTCTGCTTTAACTAAACGAAAGTAAGCTATATTTCTCATGAACATGCCACTGCTTCCAAAAGTAAATTTGAGACTTGGTATCTGAGCAGCCATATATACATTAAATTATAGACTGAAATCTATAGTCAGAGTAAGATATGACTCGTTGGATTTTGAACTTTAACTTTCACTACTTCTCCATGAGTCTCAAAATTAGAATTCATTTCGTAATAAATTAAGATTGGGAGCTCGACACTAACTTATGATAAACAAACCTCAAGTATTGCAGCTGACTGAAAGATTTGTAGCTCTAACTCACACGCCTGATATAACTGCTCATAGCTTTCATTTCGTAACAAACCACGAAGAGTATACCACAAAATTACGCTCCACCTAAGATATTCAAAAACCAATTGTGATTTCTTTCAGAAATATAGAAAATTTGCAAAACTAGGTCATTCGGAAAATGGCAGAAGTGAAGATATGACCGCATCGACTTTAATGACCAAATTGAAACAAACATTTTTTTCTTTATCTGTATTAATCCGAAACATATAAGTTTCCCAAACAAATTTGCGGAATATTGTCCAAAAATAATGTGTATAAGAACAAGAACTGAACAGTTGTCTACACTTTTTGAAATCCCAAAGGAGTAACACCATAAAATGTAACTTTGGCCCATCATATCATTTTCTTATCGGTCCTTGACGCCAACTAGATCACAATATCTTCTCTTACTCTCCTTATTCCTTATTAATTTTACTTGCCTTTGTCTATGACAACGAAATATGGTTCTTTCTCTAATCTATTACCATTAATTACCAAACTAACCACTAATCTATAACCTAAATTTCCCGGTTCCACTTATTTCTCTCCCAAAAGTATGTCACTTTTGTCTAAAATTAAAGAAAAAACCATTAAATACCGTCGAACTTCTTTGCATTATGTTAATTTTTTCGTCAGAAATATAATTTGGTAGCTAAAGAAAGTGCACAACAAATAAACAAGTTTTGTAGTAAAACTTACCCACAACTCTGCAAAGCATTATAACTGAAAAGGTAAAGTTGTACGGTCGATAACATAACGTCGTTTGCCACTCTTATCACCACACCTGCGATTTATCAAAGTAAATGATAACAAGAAAATGTCACTATGCAAGCAAAAGTAAACTTAGCCAACCCTTTCCTTCCCACAGCAGCGCCTATGATAATAAACTTCGTTTACGAGCGACCGCATATTGCCCCATACATTTAGGTTCTTTAAGGTAGTGCTACTCTCGAGAAAAGCCTTAGGACAAAGACAGAAGGCGATGGCAAACCTCCCAGAGCGCCTAACTGCATGCAGTATGAAAGTAACAGGTAGACTTGTAGAAGATGACCGGTTAGGACTTCTTTGCGACAATTTCTCACTATCATTACCGACATTTCGCGACAGAACGATTGGAATTACCAGTGAAGCCTTTGCCTAATAACTTCATTAGATCGATTCAGTGAGAAATATTTCTTTGCTGGAATTAAATATGTTTTTTTTTTTCAAAAATAATTTCAACTGACATTTTTCAACTTCAGTTATTGGATAAGCTGAGATGAATAATTAATAATAAGGCAAAGTGTTGAAACAAACTGAAGCAAATATTGGAGGACGTTAAGTGTATGGTCGATTGTCGCTCTCTTCTTTTTCGAGAGCGAAGAACACGAGACTCTAGTATTTTCCTCGGGAAATATGAGTGAGTCTGATTCTATTACTACAACTTGCTATGCTTATCCAAATAAGCTTATATCTCTTTATATATACACTTTCTCATTTCTTTTGTTCATCGGATGTTTCCTTCAACATTTATTAGAAACATTATAGCGATTTCCTCCCAAAAATCACACAAAAATTTTCCTTCAACTATAAGCTATTTTGTTGATTTTATACTTTATCCTAAGTTAATCCTTTTCCCTCAATTGTTCAATGTAAAATTATTATTCCATCAACAAAAATTCTCCCTTTTCTAAAGAAATTTTAAATACTTTGTAACTGTATCTTATTCATTTTCTGTATTCAACATTAACTCTTTTAATTTAAATTATATGTTATTCTTTCTTATTCGTATCCGGAAATTCTTTTATTTCATACTTGATTTCTCAAAAAATTATAATGCCATTTTTAATTTCTGCGTTTACCATGTCTCTTTTTGAATTTAAATTTTCGTTTAGCTTTATATCTTGCAAAAAATTGTAATAGAAGTTAACGAAAAGTAAGAAGGAATATTGCGTCTTGTTGTTAGGGAATTAATTTTACAATCGTAAACGGCCGTTGAAATGCATGTAAGGCTAAATGACTAGTAATTTATCAGAATGATTAATATCGTAATCAGGTTTTTTCTGTCACCATCCATCATTTGGTTAAGGATAAAGCGAATAATCAATATTCAATTCTTGTGAAGTTTTTTTTAGATAAATTTTATTCGTTTAAATGAAATAAAACCTATTTGAGGTTTTTGATTGTTATTTTACACCATGCTAGTGAAACTCCCGAGAAAATTTTTCATTTTAGAAAAAATTGCAATGAAATGAACAATTTACTGCCGGTCGTTATTTCACTTTATGAGCTACGAAAATGATTATTGTCTCATAGACATTTGTTAGGAGTATATTTTAGGAAAGACATTTAGAAAATAGCGCATTATTTTTAAAGCTCATTCATACTCATTCAATTTTGTTTTTCTATGACGATAGGAAAATTCTTCTGAAGATGTGTTAGCACATAATAGCTTAACCTGTTTTCTATGTATGTGTCAATGAATTCTTTTGTTTTTCCAATATTTCTTATATTCAAGGAAATGAAGTGATATTTGTATGGAGAAGAGAGAAAAAGGAAATACTGAAGTATGGAAATACTTATTAAATAACATTATTGAAATTTGGCGTGAAATAATAACTAATTAATAAGTGTAATGAATGAAGACTAGCAAAATACTCGATCAAGTAAGCTGGTTTCAGTATCCTTCTAACACGTCATACTGCTATATCAATTCTAAATTTGGTCGTTTTTTACCTTTTCATATTTTTCCTACTTTGATTTTTTCTACTTTCTACTTTGACTACAGAAGACTGTTAAATTGAATAATTTTACGAATAAATAATTAGTTTGAAACTGTTACCACTGTTACTTTAGTTCAACATCTCATTGCAATATGATATGAAGTGGATTAGTAGTGTTAAAGGATTGTGTTCAAGCTGGAGTCACGTGGTTAAAACGGCAAGTGGCATATCTAACAGATGTATTGCATGAATGATAAGAACTGTTTTGATAATGATAGATCTGATTTGATGATGATCAGAGCTATGCATGTACATTAGCATCAGGAGGGCACTTTAACAAAGCTGAGACAATTATAAGACTGCCAGAAGACTTTTTATTAGATATTCTCAAATATATTCGTGTTTGCGCAATTGTAATTCGCATAAAGTTCATTAACTTTATAGCATATAACAGCATCCATCAAACGTGACAGTGGGAAATTAGCGCAACCATTGATAGGTCAATATCATCCGCCATATTTCCATTGTTTAGCAATCATTTTATTGACTTAAATTTCCCCGCGAACAATGTGATGAAACTACTTAATTATTGGGGATTCTATGATTATCGACATAAAATCTAGTGCATCACTGCTATCATTATAAGGTAGGTTGAAAAAATTGTGAGATTTTCATTTAGTGAATATTTTCAGAGGATTTGGATATACTCTAAAAGTGGATTAAATTTAATAAATGGAGATCTTGAAAATATACTTTCGGAAATCAATGAAGTTATTTCATCTGATAGTATAGGAAGTAATTTAATTGATTTGCACGATTAGAAATTATAGATGATGAATTGTAAAATTTATAAGACAAATCGATACTTCTTTTTAGATTCGCGTTTTATTTACTTACTGTTTTACTGATGGTGTTATTAGACGAAAGAAATCAATTATCTTATCAAGATAAACTAGTTTCCATCATGTTTTCATTGAAAATTATTAACAATATAAACATGATTAAAGAAACAATATACTATTTGTAATTTGATAAAAAATAAACATTTATTAGATGACAATTAATTAACAGACTTAAAATTAAAGGAAATACTTTTAGATTTCTTGCTTAGTGACGGCATACTAAATAACTGGGAGCCTTTTTTCTAGTAAGGAAGTGATTCTTAGAAGTATTTTTTAAAAACGCTGTTTTTCCAATTTAGTTATCTTTCATTATCTTTTATTCCCCACGCCTTAACAAGTTACGTGATTGTTATCCTATAATGTTTTTATGATTCAGTTAATAGAAAGAAAATTACTTTCATTATTTTATGTTTTCATTCCCATAAGCAATAATTTATTCGATGGGGGTCATTAGAAAATCCTAAATTTTATCTTTGAATTATATTTTACAACTTTTTTTTCGTACTCGAAAGAATTTGAATGGACATGAAAACACAATACATCCCTACTAATCGGTTATTTATAATTTTAACATCATTTTTGTGGAAAAGTGAACCTCTCCTGTTGAATCTCAATTTTTTCTACTTCCGTTTTATCCTTTCGGAAATTCCCACGCAAATACTTCACTGAAATTCGCTTCTATTTCTCATATGCTTGTTTGTAATTCTTTCTATTTTCTGACGGACTAAAGTCATCAAACAGATACTACCTGGAGTTATCATCACTTCGAGTACTAAAAGGTAATGATGATGTGAAGGGCGGAAGCATTGCTAATCAAAACTTTTTGTACTAATTATAATTTGTTAATGGTATTGTCATTCTTCAGAATAATTTGGATAGATATTGTGCATTAAGCCTTATACAAATTTTTTTAGATTATCGAACTGCCATTCTAGCTGAATCAAATTTTGACTGATTAGTATATTTTTCACTTTATTCGCCGCCTTGAAGTTTTCTGTTATCAATCTAATTTACTTTACTCGACAAGTGCCCATACCAACTTTTGTAGGATTATTCAAATATAAATTTATAAAACTTGTCTATCAGCATATTCTTCTTAAGAAATCCATAAACAAAAAATTTTTTCCCATTAGAGTTCCAAAAAATAAGTTCTATTAATTTCATTCTGAAAAAAAAAAAGCATTCCAAAAATGTCTGAGCAACCCATGCTAAAATATTGCTGGAGATTTTAATTTTTTATAAAGTAGATTAGATCAATATCTGTAATTAATTCATATCTAATTTGTACAATATTTCAAACATTTTTTCTTTCTCGCCCTTTTTTTATATCCAAAGTATTTTAAATTAGATTGAATTCTCCTAACTAGAAAAATTAAAAATTTTTTATGGACTTTCTCCAAAACTAACAAGATAAATCATGCTAATTTCATCTCTTATATCTAAATAAATCAAATCTTTCAGAGGCTTTTGAAATTTTTATTCGATCACAATGATGTATTTTGCATCTCACATCGATATTTCTTCATTGCAAATGCATATAATTTTCCAAAATTGCACTGAACACTCACAATGCTTTCGTTCAAGAATTTTGCTTCAGTTATTCTGCCAGTTATCAAAGGAAAATCTCATTTATTTATTTATTCATTCTTTATCTTCTTTCATTACTTTTGAAAAATGTATAAAAATTTCTGATTGCTACGACATTTGAGCATTCTAGTGTATCTTTTAGCTGCACCACTTTTATAAGTGATAGTTGAAATAAAAATATAAAAAATAAAATTGAAAAGAAAAAATTTCTTCAGTTCTTCAACTACAGGGGAAACAATGAAATTGGGCAAACTAGAAAGTTGTCATTTGCTGTAAATAAATGCATATCTTTCGGATGCACTGTAAAAGAATCTTTATTCAAGTTTTAAAATGATATGGAAGGAATGAGTTTATCTAATGATAACAATTCAAGTTTATCAAAATTTTCCTCATATCATTTTATTATCAAGATATTATCAAAAACAATTCTACATGGCTTTCCTGCATATATAAAATTTCTTACTATATACGAGGGATTGCATTTTCACTTGCGCTTTAAAATGGAAATAAGATAGCAAATAAGACTTCAGGATTTCCATTTCAATATTTCATCTCTTGAATTATTCTCTGTTTAAAACTTCAACTTTAGAGCAAAAAATTTCAACTGAAGTTTTAACGCTTCGGTGATTGCATTTTCATTTTTAATACATAAAAAGATGGAATTTTTGAGTTTCAGTATGTTTTCCATTTCCAATGAAATTAAAAACTAATTTTTTTTGGAGTTTGAAACCTAAATGTGGTTTTAAATTTCAACTGGAAAATTTATTTTCTGTTAGACATAAAAAAAAAATTCTGGCCTTGGTATAATAAACAAAATGACGTTGAAATACATCATGTTGACACACACTTTGTTTCAGGCATGGCAGTCGATGTTTGAATTACTTTTATTCATTTGGGATTTTTTTTGTTTAGCAGTAACTTTTCGCCTGAATGGAAAGTTAATAGCTATCTCATCTATCTGTTTAGCATCAGTTAACACCTGTTTATCATTTTCTACTTCTTTCTTCAATATCGCCTATTTAATTTTAAAATAGTATGTTTTTAATATAGTGTAAAGAAAGATTAAAACATTTGTGTGATAGAAGTGAGCCATTATTACCATATATGAACTTAAAGTGATCTTTTCGTATTTTAGGCACTGAATCAAAGTTGACAAATATCATTTCATTCTCTTTCTTGCTATAGCATAAAAGTTTTGAAATCCTTTCATCCTTCACTATAGCCGTGCAGAAAGATATATTTTACAGATTTTTCTTCACATCCAACTTTTCGCCAAGTCTATTTGTGGATGCAAATTAGGCAATTTTTAAAAAAGAAAAAAGATTATTTCCAGTGATATTAAATCTTTGCAAAGTTTTCACGCTCTATGAAAGCATATCAGGAGGGAATGCAAAATGAGCAGTGATGAGTATCACCGGGAGAATCAACACCACCAACAGCAGCAGCAGTCACAATTTGAATTTCAAGAATATGGAGAACTTACTGACCGCTGTTTTTTATGTCTTCAGCAAATTTGTGGTTAGGACAGCACAAACGCCAAATCTACTATTTTTTTCACCGTGTACTTTTCCATCGCCACTCTATGAACCTCTTCAGGTTGGTTCATTGTTTTAAAAATTTAATAATAAATAAAACAGACCGATATCTGCCTGAAGTTCACAACAGTTAATTATGACAGTTGTAGACTATGTTAATGCTTTCATAAACAAAACTTAATGGAGTAAATCAAATTATAACAAAAATACATTTTAAAATATATTAGTCAAATTTTGGTCCATGGATCAAAAAATAATTCAGTTTCGCTCGCACTGTAATCTGATGCCTCATCTTCCGTTCATTTGTGATTTACATCAACAGCTTAGCGATTCTGGCTCCACAGTTATTCTAGAAGCATTTGAAAAGCTGAAGTCAGTGCTGGTCAGAAATGACTCTTCACTCTCACTGGGTATACTTATTGGTGAGATCTTTCTTCATTAATAATGCAAGTAATTAATAACATCAACATAATTAATAATAAATGAGAAAAATTAATTTTTTACTTAAATTTATTGACTTGCAAACATATAAATGTTTGCAATCGTCTTTGCTTCATTCCTATTATGTTTACAAAAGATAAGATTATTCGAAATCCAACTTTGCAAGGAAGAGTTTGAAGCGAAAAATTAGATAAAAGAGATGTTTAATTTAGGCTATTTTGGATAATTGAATTGTTTGTATTTGGGTGCGATATTCGCTTTGATGATATCAACATTTTATTGAAGTTTCTTCACTTCCCTCTTTCTATTAGGAAAAGCTATCTATTAGAAGGATGGAAGTGAGTCCTGCCTAAACATCATGTTAAAATTTCACAAGCAGCAAAAGTTAATAATTCAAATGGACTACATGAAAAATGCTGCATGAGTTCGACAAGCTGTAATTTAGTACGGCAATTGGCACCTCCAGCAAGTTCATCGGTAGTCTACAGCAATAAGTATGAATATGGCTGTTTGTTTGAAGATGAGTGTATCCATATGGACGCTGAGAAGATACAACAATTCGTAATTAGTGCTCGAACCTTTGTAAAGGTATTATTTCGATAAACAAAATGGACTTATGTCAGAAATTTATACCAAATGTTTTCACGTTATAATCGACATCAAGCTTCATTGAAATTTTGTAAAAGAGCTGAAAATTCCAACTGACTCTTCAGATTTACGCTTCGACTCTGTATAAGCGCTGGTTTCTTGAGGATAAAACCTACAATCAACCAAATATTCTGGCTATAATTATTCTTGATGGCTTGGTAAACGACGTTCGAAAACTACCTTACGTTAAAATTTATACTGGTTTGTTAGCTTTTGATGACAAAAACAAAATAAATATTGCTGTGTGGTTTGAACTCTTTGAAATTCGCTTCAATCCCCTGAGAAAGGATAAGAGAATGTCATCTGTAAACAGGAAAATTATTCTCATGTTAGCTGAAAGATTAATAAATTTACCTCTTTTATTTCTCACTAATACGTTGTCATCAGTTCCTTATGCTTGCAAATTGGTACCCTCTGTTACTGCTATTCTTTTAATGTATCATCTCATTTATTTTCGGATGTTATGTTGACGAAAATACAGGCATTTTATTCGACTATCCTTAAACAATGTTTATAAACTGTACATTTCGGCAACAAACTATCAATTTGTTCAACTTTCTATAGTTTACGAATAACGAAGTATTTTCAGGTGATTTCCGGTTGCTTTCCTCAATGTTTAACATCCAGTCAGAATGTGTAAACAATATCCTTCAAGGTAATATCATTGATTCAACCGAAATATGTTTAATTTTTAATTATCTAACTGTTAGATGAGATAAGTGGGAGAATAGAACAGCTAAACTGGTCTTTTTTAAGATCGAAACACAACCATGTCATGTCTGTCGTGTAGTTGTATCACTTCCGGCGCTGAATGACTGACAACTGTAAAGCAAAAACTAAAAATTTTAAAAAACCATAAAAACTCTGTGACAAACGAAAAAGCAATTCTTGAACTAATTCTTAATGATGAATAAGCTAATGCAATGAATGACATTGATAAGAAGATGAGGTAATAAAGAGGTACAGGTTGGCCGTTGCATATGGTAATCGCCGATCTAATCGAACAACTTGGTCATTCACTACGCGAATTCTGCCTTCTAGATGGTGGTGTCCGGTTGCATGCTGTGCCCTCCTGGGCCATTTACATATTTATCTTCTGTGTTGTCGTATCTTTTGTAGCAATTTTCATGGAATGGTATATTGTGAGGCGGAAAATACCTTACAAACGTAGTGTTACCGGCATTCAATTACATGCTGGTAAAAGTAAAGCACATATTATTTTCTATTAATTCAATAAGAACATCATAATCTTAACTATTTATAATTATTCATTCATCATATCAAAACTTATCTGCTATAAATCATATCCTATCACTTGCTGATAAGATTTTAGACGAAACGTTGAATAAAACATGATTTCCATTTTCCAAACTTTTCCTCTCATTCTTTATTGAAAAGTCTGTCGTACTATAATTTTTGGTTCATAGTGATCTGCATTTCGTAGTCAAATAACGCCGATAGAGGCGCAGTAGTTCGAATTATAGTCCTCTACGAGGAAGGGTTTGCTACTCACTTCATTCTGGGCCCAAGCCTAATTCTGATCCACAGATATTACAAATACAAATTCAAACATCCTTGAAAAGGATGTCCCAAAAGACCCATTGACAGTATGGTCCGTCTACAGAGATAACACCCGGAAGGCGGAATCGAACCACTCCGTCGCTAGACGGCTACAGGTTTGAAGCCTGCATCCCGGACCACCGAGATTCATCCAGGCATCACAGCCCTTCCGCCGTCCCACTATGTAAACCTTTGATATCTTTTCATTTGACAACAAGTGGTTCTAAATGACGAACTCCTTTGACGTCTGCATCTCCATTGTATAAATATTCCTCATCATGTCTACCTTCTTGTCGTAAGCCGTGACGAATCACCGAAGTGAAGAACTGGGAAATGTGCTAAACGACACAACCTATGAAACTTCATATAGATCGAGTCACCAAAACTACTTGTCCAACGTATTACCATTTCTTTTCCGACCGTCTCTGGCGGTACCGTCAGATGAAACAATGTCTCTTTGGCAGCATCCATAGCAAATCTGATTTAGACACTTATATGCTTATGCGAAACAAAATCAGTCCATGATAGACACGTCACTGTCACAATTTAATCCTATTATTAGACCTCATTGGGACCACCGAATTTAACACTTCCACGTTTGAATGTCTATCCTTCATATGTCAATATACTCTACGACATGCGACCCAGCCAGACTTCAATTTCATCTCTTATAAAGATTTCACTGTATCGTAAAGTCATAGTGATTGCATAACTATTTATAGCATATTTCCTGGTTTTGCTATGGCTACTGACACGATGATCATCACTTAATGATCGCTATTGACTTCTCATTTTCACTTAACAATATTGTTACTTTTTATTATCATGATTAATGAACATGTAAATGCGGCACTAATAAAAAGTAATAAACATGTAAATGCACACTGACCAAATAAAAATTACTGTATGTTTCAATGCATTTCACATGTCATCGAAGCCCAATTTGCATGAAATTCGATTTCAAACTGTGAAACAGAATTGGTAACCAAGAAGTTTAGATATATAGTGAAGTAAAAGGCAGCATGCCAAAAAAACAACAGTACGAACAATAAGTTTATGAGGTCGAGAAACAAACCGGTGATATGAATGTAGAGATTTCAGAATTTTATATTGATCACTTCTTAGTCTTCATATTTTGCAAATTCCGAGAGCAACTGGGCATTCTAACTAACGATATCACAAAATCAAAAACCAGTCCAGTAATGAAAAAAAAAAAAAGTTTACAAATACTTGACAGTGTGACACAGTAATACGTGAACATACGTAAAACAGTCAGTACATTATCATTTTTTTTCAGGAAATATTGCTAAAATCAATGAAACTTTCTCCTAACATTTAACCTGAGTAATTACTGAAATATATTTGAGCACTGGCAACATGAAATATATTTTAAACGCTGAGATATATAAATTCCAGGATTAGTTTCAGTTGCTAAATTTTCATCGTTAGTAACTTCGAGGAGACACTTTTCAACAGTTTACGTTTATCTTCACACTCCGTTTTAAATCCTGAATGAAGATGAGCAAGCAGCATTTCCACAAAACAACATTAAATATTAATGCATCCCACATTTTAAAATGTATCAAATATATAAGCAAGTTCAAAAATACGAAAATCTTTGGCATGTTAATAAAACTGGATCTTACTGCTGATACTGCATGGATCTCTTCGTAGGGTAAACTATTTACACATATATCTGCCTCCTGAGACATGATGAATTCAGTGCAGAAGTTACTTAGCAGATATTCAAAACTGGTAAACTAAATCTTAATAAACTAAATCTTAAAAAACTAAAACGTAAAAACCAAGGAAATTTTTGGCTGTTTTCAATCAAGCAAAAAATTATTCTGATGATAAAAGCAATAAAGTCTCCTTGAAAAAATCACCTCGAAACTAAAAGAGTTAATCAATTCTTCTACTAAAGTGCATTTGCAGATGCCATGAATTTTTGTTGTCGCCGTGCAATTTCACGGTTGATTTCACGCCGAAAACGCTCATATTTGATTGCAATATCAATGCCTTCTTGTTTGTACAGCTTCATCAACTGATTATCGTACTGTTCTAGCTGTGGTAAGCGGAATAACGGCCACTGCAACTCGCTACAGAGTAATTCTCAGATTTATATTTGAAGCTCATTACAACGAAACAGCAAAAGATGTACTGATTTGCAACTTTCATTAATTTAACTCCATTATAACACATCAAAGTAACTAAGAATTATACTCCTCTATGGGTTTCGACAGAATGATCTTAAAATACATACATTTATAATATCACCATTAAAATAAAACCATTAAAATAAACTAACCTCTAGTAAATGATCTAATTCATACGGGGCACGAGAGTACAAACGGAGCCAGTCAGGAATATCTATAATCAATGCAGGTAAAAGTCTTACCAGATGAAAATTCAAATAGGAGAAGTATATCAATTAATTGACTAAAAATTTTTATAAATATAGTAAAATGTTTGCTTTTTAGTCAAATATTATATTTATCAGAACCTTTTTATAGTCTATACATGTATGAAATGTAAAGTGGGGATTTACTTTTGAAACCATGTTGTTCTTCATTAAATTATGATTAAACTATGTCCAACATAAATATATTAATAATAAACATACCTTCACCAATAATATTCAATTTTTCAATTGTACTCTCAGCACGTCGTGTTAAATGTGATGCAGAATTATTCTGTGCATAATTTACAGGTGTTGCTAAGCCAGGATGTTCCAACTGCGTTCGACCATCTAGCTTACTAAAACATTCCGTTTTACTTTGCTTTTCCTATTTCCATGTTACCAATGCACTGAAAAGTTACAGCTTTACTTATTTCTAACAAAGCATGAAAAATAGAGCCACTAGAAATATTACTTGTGATATGTTACTCCATTCATCGAATCAAACTGCTTTGTCCAGCCCAAAGGCAAATTTTCTTTAACAAGAGGATGAATCCAATGTGTCCGCCGATTATTGTGATCCACATAGTAACTATAACAAAGAAATAATAAAAGAATACTAAGCACATATGCCTTAACAAAAAGAGTAGAAAAATACTACGATGAATACTTCAAAACCAACAGAAAAAAAAATTTTTTTTACCATCAAATAATGTTTGGTTAAGGAACATCAGTTTGTAAGGAAATATTGAAAATAGTCTATAATACAAAAATAGTCTATAATCAAACGTCACGCACAATGATTCAAAACTACACGTAACAGAATAAAAAAAAAAAAATCGGAAAAAGAGAGACCGAATTCCTTCTGATGTCACTTCGACAGCCCAATTTGGTGGTAATGTGAGATCCTCCTTTAGTACTGCACCGGTCTCACCAGCAAATGGTGCACTTATCGAACGACCTAGATCTTGCTATAATTTATATGACTAATTACAATTTAATAATAAACCGCAGAAATAATAGGTATCCAGTAATTCGAGGAAATACAATTTTAGCAATTCACGAAAAGGAGATTAGGGAGCCTTCCGGTTAAAGTATATTTCAAGCTTTACTTAATAGAGGCGTGAAGGTTCATAGATTTTATAAAGTACAAAAGTACCTGGCAAACTCTGCAATGAAATGGACACCAGACGCTGTTCACCGCTTTCTGCAATTGTCGTTTGTGTACCATGCTAAAATTACGACTGATATTAGACTTTTCAATAATCTAACAAATTACTGAACATTCCTAATAAACTAGAGAAAGCTGCCACACCTGTACTACATTACCAATGCTAAGTGACGACGTAAGACCCTTTTTGGACAAGTATTGACTGGATGTCCGACTTTCACTGAAACTTTGCGACGACAATTCTGGTTTTGTACGAACGGAATTTCCCTCTATCCGGCAACTATTAACATCGCTCCCAGCACACTGCAAGCTTTGGGATGAATGAGCCAACTGTTGTAATCCAGCTTGGATACCTTGAATTACACCTAAAGTATGCTTGTTTCAAAGAATTCCTCGAATAACTGAAACACTTAAATAAATCCAGGGGAAAGACAGCAAAGAGACTAACATTTGTAACGAAGTAATAAGTGAAAAACCTTTCCGTAACTCTTCGCATCGTTTTGAGCTGTGATTTAGTATATTTCAATAGGGGAGTGATAATAGAAAGAGGAGACGGAGAGGAACTGACCATCACAAGTGGGCAAAGAGGGAGGTGCCTCTCTCCTTAGATATCGACCTGGCGTGCCTTCCAAGAATGTTGGCGTCTGATGTCGACGTCGTCGATTTAGCATATCTCCTAGAAAACTTCACAACGTTTCCAGAAGCTAATGCGAAATCAATAACAACAAAACTTTAAAAGACATAAGAATCCAACTTATGCAATCAATATTTTGTACGGCCCTCTTTTGAAACGCTTTATCCTTCAAAAATACGCAAAAGATTGTTTGATAAAATAGTCAAACTACGATCCTTAATCATACGTTTGATTTGTAGTTAACAATATTTTCTTTTATTTTGGTTGAATAGAGACAAAGGTCATTTGCTTCGGTCATTTGCTAAATTTATCAAAGGATGGAAATAGCTATTACAGCTATTACGAATAAAGATATTATAATGACCAATTTAATCTGATCAGATATTTCTAATTAGATGATATTTACTGAGACAAGAATGCTTACACTGGTTAGTTTACGGTTTTCAGTTTGAGCACGGCTGCTTCTATTTTTTGAATTGTTACCAGAATGATCAATTTAATTTGGATTTATAATTTGAAAAGTCATTTCCGCTCCATCTTTTTAAAACTTAATTTTGAAGCAAATTTGGATAAAATTGAACAAGTAGGAATGAGAATTGCACAGAAAGTTAAAAAATTGAATTTTCAATCAATTATTTTTGAGTTTTTTGCGATCTTGAACGAACTAATTTTCAAATCGCAAGGAAATAATATGAAAGATTGCAACAGAATAAGAAATGAGTGTCTATCAATCGATATCAAAGTCGATAAAAATTCATTGATTGTTGTTGACTAGATATTTGATAACAGTTAACCAAAAGAATTTAAAGAACATTTAGTTGCTGAAATAGAAAATAATTTCATTAAGAAGTGATCATTCTAACGAATCGTAAAGAATTGTGTACTCTGAAGTAGCCAAGTCTGTTGGAATGATTTATAGGCTGATCGTTTGAACATCAATATTTCCAAAAGTCATTTCTATAATTGTCCTATTTAATTTATTCATTCAACTGAATTTCAAAAATCTTGATTGGACTATTTTTAATTCAGCCGGTCTTTTATTCTCTCACTATCAATCGTTTTGAACCATCACCCCAACTGTAAAAATAATAGCTAATGGAAGAAACCGACCAGCAAATTTTAAGAATATTTCATGGAAACAAATTCCTAATATAAAATTTTATTTCCTACAAATAATCAAAATGACAATTTTGATTAATAAGTGTTATTTCCAACGCTAAAAGATAGGGTTAATAAGCTGTCGTTTTATTAAAATACATATATTATATAGGAAAAGCTAATCTGTTTCATTTGCATGATCGTATTGTGGACATCTTCCAATCAAAAAGTTCAATTTAACGCTTTATCGCTTCAAAAAGCCCTGAATTAGATTTAGATTTAACTAATTCCCAAGAGAAGCTAGTGATCAATACAAATGGGAGGCGGCATCTTTACGCTAACCTAATTTGGTGTTGATGGACTTAATCTGTAATTCTGAATAGTTTGATGACTGATTCAGCTTACCACTATCTTCAAGTTCTCTAAAATTTGACAGTTATCAATTATTTTAATCTAAAGTTATGATAATTTCTGCTAGGATCTTGCAATAATTCTCTGATTTTCAATTTTATTTATAAATTCATTCCGATGAAATGGGTCTGTGTTGTTCAACGACTGAACAACAACAAACGGAACAATTTCATTACCTGCAGCATCAATTAGCACAACAAAATCAGCAACAACAATCAGTTCATCACAACTTACGTCCGAATTCACCGTATGTTTTTACATACGAATAGGAAATTTTTTATTGTTAAATTGAATAAAACTAAAGTATGCTAACAAATGCTTCATTTCATTCAAAAAGAAAAAAAATTCTATGTTTTTTGTTACATTGCTCTATATTGAAAATGCCTTCATATCTGCTTTTTGATCATCAATTTCACCATTAATTTACAACTTCGTTGCTTATTTTTCATTAGCTTCTTAAATTAGCTATAAATTTAGTATTTTCACTTCACTATAGTAATTACCGGCTATGCTGAAGTAGGTGGTTGATAGTACCTCAAGTCGTCTTTTTTTTTGTTTTAGGCTATTTCCAATTCATTAGATACATGAGGAAAATAAGTCTATGGTGTATCATAAGCCTTTTTTAGGTCGACAACAAACTTTCCCTTGCTCACTTTTAAAAATTAAGTAAAAAACTCAGAACAATTTACCGAATGCAAGAAAATTAAACTATGGAAATAAAGATGAGGGAAAAGTTTATTTTTCTTGGATGGGCTTTTTTTACTACTCAGTTTCATAATGAGCAAATTTGGCAAAAGTTTAGCGCTGAAAAAGTAAAAAGGAAGCAAATTTTGAATTCAGAAATTTCTTTCAATAATTTAAAATTATAAAATTTAACATTAGTAATGGTCGAACATTCGAAATCTGTGCATGCCATTTTTTTAAGCTAATGCTAAAAGAACTTTTGCAGAAAATTTTCCAATAAATTATTCAAGTTTCATTAAATGCTTTCCATCCAAAATATCTCATTCAAGTGATCTTAATCTGCTATAGTTCATTTATCATGAATAATGATATTTGATCATTCCAACTTTTCACTTCCTACTTAATATTTAAACTTTTGAACTTACTTGTGAAATTAAAAGTGCTTTTAAAGTGCTTTCTTTAAGAATACAGTTGTTGATAAATAACTGATGCATTCAGTTTTAAGTGATTAATATCTGTCACTACTTCTTTAAATGCAGAATGAGAGTAACTAAAAGCACTTAATAATATCCAGTAATATTCATTTTGACATTTTATTAACTTTGATTGTTGAGACAGCAAAATTTTTATTAAGGAGAATAATAAATCTTATTTCTCTTTTCTTCTCCACAGCTAATCTTAAGAAAATGAAATTACGAGGTGATTGTAGGACCAAAAATAAACAAGAGAATGACTGAGCAGCGCAAAAAGAAGTAAATTCAGAAATTTATTTTAAGTTAATAAAACTTTATAAAATTTTAAGACTGCTGTGAAAAGTAAGTATATGAAAAAAATAAAAGTTTTTTTCTCTTTTTAGGAAAATGCGTTTAGTTTTACTAAATATCATTACCTACGGAAGCTAATTTTATATAAAAGTTATCAGCAAAAATCCATATAAATTCTATTCAGGAGCATGAGATAATCTAAATATAATACTGACTTGAAGCTTGCAAGAAATATCATCGCATGTATTTATAAACTTTTATTTCAGTTACGATATCAGGACAGGTATAGCGATGATGATGCAGCAAGCAACAGCTCTGGCTAAGGCTCCACCAGGTATGGACCTTTTGGCTTTGGAAGCAGAAATACGAAAAGCCAAAGCAGAAGGCCGTACTGTTACTATTGCAAATAGTTGCATTTATTTCGACTATGAACTAGTCGGTCGCATACCTCCTGACATACCTTTTCACCCCTGATATTATAAATGTATTTCAACTTTTTCTTTAAAAGAAGAATGAAATTTTTGATATTTATAATCGATTTCGAACAGTGAAGCTGGAAAGGCTTATTCAGAAGAAAAATTGGCTTTATCTGCTAAAATTATATTTCTAATTACAGCCTGAAATCCACGAAATCTAGTAACAGACACATTAAGCAATAACTTATAAATGATTTGTATTATTAGTAGATAATTGGTCAATAATGCTTATATTGTATTAGTTTAGTGTATCCAATTTTACTACGGCTATTCCCACTCAAAATGGTGCAATTTTTTACCTGTATATAATGATCATTACAATAGTCGCTAATTTTTTCAAGGTTTTAAATTCAGCAAATTTTCTCTTTTTGAATAACTTTGTGATAAAATCCAAAAAAGGTTAAGTGATGTAATTAAAGAATTTAGATAATTTTTCCTATGATAAATTGTACTTCGATAGATTTTGGTCGAATGTGTCATTAACATTACAGCCGATTTATTTTTAAACATTAGAAATCATTTTTATTAAAAATTTATTTTCAAGGAAAGAATTTATTACTTTCATTTTCTAGTTAAAGCGGAAAAGATGAATGTAACGATAATTGACAGTACAAACATAATAATATTTGCTAGCTCCTTGTGTGTTATGTTGTTTTCATCAGGTAATATGAATGTGTTGGTGGTGTCTGTCATTTAAAATATAGTGAAGTCAGACAAATTGTCATAGCAACCAAGCTGATTTAAAATAAGGGAACGAGAAGCCTATAATTATATAATCAGTTAAAGAAGGCATTTTGTTAATAAACACTAGCTTCAAATAAGCCGACAATCACTTCCTATCCCTCAACACATACATTCCATAAGTTAATTAATTGTACAACGGTAGAATGATTATTGTAATACGGTTTGCATTTTGCGCTGTTTTTGTTTATCTTTGTTTTGTTTTCATTTCCAGTAAATAAATACAGAAAAAGAGAATTGTGTGCCAGCAAAAACAAAAATATTGACAAAGTTTTAAGAGGATAGAAAGATAAAAGAATGTAATCAATTCATTTCTTTTTCGGTTTCAAATTCTAGGATCTTCCTTTTCATAACCTAAAAGATCACAAATTAGTACGCTTTAATTATTTCTATTATTGTCGTCACTAATCTATTGATTTAGTGCGAGATAATGCTAAATATTAACACGATGATATTGTAAATTGTATTCTTCTATTTCCAGTGATTAAATATTTTCTGCTTTTACTATAAATTTTCTACCAATCAGTGGGATATATATTTGATGCATATTTCCGAGTAATATGTTAGTAATACGATCTATAGAAGTCAGCAAAAAAGTAACGACAAAACGACCATTCTGCGAATATCCCAAAAGTAACTGTATATTTTGGTTATTAATATCATATCATACTGTTGTCATGGCAATAAAAAATTTCAAAATAGAAATTATGACATTTTGTTCAAATTTCTTTCATTGAAAGATGAAGTTATTAGTAGTCCAGGAGAAATGATATAATAATCTTTTTACAAAGGCTAAACCGCTTATTTCAATAGAAAGAGTAAAGAAAACTGATCATATTTTAATTGAAGACTAAAATTTTGCAAACGCGCAATATATGAAATAATGCCGGAAGTATTTTGAAAATGATTTTTCTTATTGATGAAATGTCAGGAAAATAAATATTCCATTTTCCAGAAAAGATGGAAGATTTCGCTTCGGGATATTGATTTTTACTACCATATATATATATATATAACTTTTACTTATGTGAGTGCCTACGTTCGAAAAAAAAAATCCTTAGTTCTTGGTCTAAGCAAAATAGTTATTGAATTTAGTTCTTCCATTCTAAAATAAAGAAATCTTAGTTTTTTTTGTTAGTCACTAGATTAAAAAGGCTGAAGATGTGGACCTTACAGAGAAGATTTAACAAATTCATGTACTTCGCTTTCATTACTATGAGAATGACAAAATGAGAAGGAAGAAAAATGGTCCTTAATTTTCCATTCGGGAAGTGGTTATACAGCTATTAAATTTTTTGTATTAAACAAAAAATGACAAATAGATGTTGAGGTCAGAGGTTAGATAAAATTTTGGAGGATTTTTCTTTATGCAGTTTCCTTGATTATATTTTGAAAAGTAATGTTCTACTACTACCTTTACACCAGCAAAACGTTATAAAAGATATTATCGATTGTAAAAGATCTTTGAAACTTTTGAATACAGCACATACATGCAGCATATAAAATTTGCATTTAAATAATTCTGTTTTGTATTTAAAGTTTTTAATTAATTAAATAACTAATACTATTCATGAGAGATGTAAGATTAATACTTTCAAACAATTCCAACATTTGTTAAACAGGAAGCAAATTTTTTCAGCAGAACTTTGAATTTAAACGTAAATATTGATGGGTGCTGAAGCTAAGCGTTATCTTCAAGAACATGCTATACCGCAACTCTTCGAGGTTCTTTTCTCATTTTCAACTTTATATGATTTATTAAATTTATAAGATGAATTTTGTCTGATTACATGATAATTATAAAACAGAATTATTTAAAAACAAAAGACCTAATTCATATATTACGCTGAGATAAAATCAGTAATAATCTTAAGAGAATGTAGCATTCCTTTATACAACAGCAGTACATATCAATGATTTCCTTCTGTTTCTTAGGTTTTTATTTAGAACCTAAAAGAAAAACGGCAGTTAAATAAGTTTAACTAAGTTAAATAAGTGTTCAGTTATTACAAATAAACGAGGAAGGAAAGAAAACAAAGAGATATGATTATTTTCAATATTTTATATCTATTATTCATACATTCAGAAAATATGCACCAGTTTTTTGAAACTTAATCTTGGGTGATAAAGCTGAAAAAGCGTAAAATGAATGAAAGCAATTTACCTTTGTAATTTAGTCCGTCACGTCATATTGCTCATATCTCAAAAAACAAAATTTTTTTGGTAAGCATAACAGTTTTATATCACTGTTAACAAGTAGGAGGATGTAGTGGCCAAGAAAAATTGTCGCTGCTGCTTGGAAGATAAGCATTCTCACAAAAGGACTTATTAGCATAGAAGATATTTCACTATTAGATACGTTAATTCTGTTAGTAAACCATACTTTTGCTTTATTCTGGCCTTTGATTTAATTAGTTTGGTACGTTTCAAAGTTTGCAGCTCTAAAAATTTTCTGAAGAATCACTTATAGATGATTGCTTCTTTTTTTTGCAGTACTGCTTTAATAGCATTAGCATAGATATCATCCATTTCTATCAAATTCATTATACATGACTATGGCTATAATTTATGATAATTTCCGACTAAAATAAAAATTAAAATGAGTGGTATAAATTAAGAAAATATGTATACTATTCCTGGTTCATTCAATAAACATATGCAATAAGCATATGGTTGTAATTGTTAATATAAGTTAAGATAAACCGTTTCGATGCATTTCTTTTTTTCTTTCGATAAATCACATTTTTTCTTTCTGTTTTTCCCAATCTCTCATCTCGAATTCTTTATAATTGCAATTCCCTATAATATTTCTCTTTTTATCACTGCCAGTTCAAATGTTCAATTAATTTCGGGAGTTTCTGGAACTATCCCGAAGCTACCAAAAATGTGTGTTTAAAAATTAAACAAGCTAAGGATAGGTTCAATGAGGTCAATGAGGTCAAATTTACCTCCTGTAAGCTCTGGCATAGAAATTGTTCCGTTCCTTTTTTGGTTATCTATGCGGACAACTAATCAATCTAAATGTAATTCATATATATATTTATTTAAATGATGCTTAATTTATATGTAAGGATCGTACTTTGACTTGAAAATTGCTTTAAACAGAAATTATTTTATACCTGTGTTTTAATGAATATTTTAATAGCTTATTAAAGTTAAACAGATCAAATTTTCGCTGAAGTTTCGTGTTTTTTACATGAGTTCTTTTCTTTCTAAAGACTTCATCTGTTTAAAATCTCCTAAAACTTCATGCTCAAATGAATGTTTCAAATTATTTCACAGTCAGGAAGAGGAGTTGCAAAGAAGATTGAAGAAAAATCTATATAAATAAGCGAGAGCTGATAGCAAACTGTTAGAATATTACGAGCAGAGCTATTATAAAAAGAAATTTTTAAAATGTGCTAAATATTTCGAAAACAGATTAGGAATGAGCTATTTCTTCAGAATTGTAGAGATATTTCAGTATCACCCGAGATTTCTTTAGATTTGAAGAATGAATATATAAGCATCTCGCATCTCTAGAAAAGGTCTTTTTTAACAAAATTTCAAATTTAAATTCTTTCAGAAATTGTTTATAACAATAATTTATGGCATTATTAGCCACTGTAATTCAGACAGAGCAGGTCTAATGAGCCCCAAAGAGACCTATCGATGACATCAGCAGAATTTTTTACTGAGTTACTACTTCCATTATATCACTTGTACAAGCATTTAGAATTAGGCGACGCGTTCTGAGGAGATTCACTGAGAATTTAATTACAGAAATACGCTTATGAACTGCACATATTGCCCCTATTCTACACTTTTGACCTTAATCCTTGTACACATATTTCAACTTCGAAAATTCAAAAATTACTGAATAACGGTTTTAATGATGGTTTAGATCCTTAGTGTTTTAAAAAAAATTTTGTAAAACTAGTGATGGAATTTCTCAGAAGTTTATGAAATTGTTTTCACGAAGTCTGCTAAATGAATTGCAGAGCCTGATAACAGGATTGATTTGCAACAAACCAGAAGATCCGATTGAATTCTTAGAAAGTTCTCTCAGTAAAGTACGGCAAAACCCAAGTTTCGAATACAAATGGGATTCATTTGTTGACAAGAAGGTGCTTCAAGAATATGATCAACCGTCCGTCACGTCTGGTTAGTTAAATTTGTGGAATAAATAATTTAAGCTCTCACATAACATCTTTGTTCTGAAATATTTTTTAGGCAAATACAGGCCGAAAGATAAGGAAAATAGACCATAGCCTAATG